AAGTGCTTGAACCCAGGAGGCAGAAGTTGCCGTGAGCCAGGATCGTGGCACTACACTCCAGCCTGGCGACAGAGGGAGACTCTGTCTCAAATAAATAAATAAATATACAAAAAATAACTGGGTGTGGTTGTGGGTGCCTGTGATTTCAGCTACTCGAGAGGCTGAGGCAGGAGAATCACTTGATCCCGGGGGTGGAGGTTGCCATGAGCCAAGATTGCGCCACTGCACTCCAGCCTTGGTGACAGAGCAAGACTCTGGCTCAAAATAAAACAAAGAAACAAAAAAAGAAATCAAATTGTCGTGCTTTTCTTCTGTTAATCTGGCTTTTCTCAGTTTAATTTGCAGGCCCTATGCACAGAACTTAATAGTCTAGATGAAAATCGTTTCTTTCCTGCCCGGCATTCCTCAAGTGCAATATGGCTGTGATGTGCCTTATGAGAAAATATGTTGTGTTCCAGAAGCTTCTTTCGGATATGAGTTACAGTGATGTTGGCGTGAGTCCAATTTGCATGCACCAACAGCATACGTTAAATAAGATGCCTTTTTTAGTTTGAGATGGAGTCTCGCTCTGTGGCCCAGGCTGGAGTGCAATGGCGTGATCTCAGCTCACTGCAACCTCCACCTCCGGGTTCAAACAATTCTCCTGCCTCAGTGCCCTGAGTAGCTGGAATTACAGGCAAGCGCCACCACGCCTGGCTAATTTTTATATTTTTAGTAGAGACACGTTTTCACCATGTTGGCCAGGCTGGTCTCGAACTCCTGACCTCAGGTGATCCGCCCGCCTCAGCCTCCCAAAGTGCTGGGATTACAGGTGTGAGCCACTTTGCCTGGTCAACAAGGTGTTTTTAAAACAGAAACTCACGTCAAAAAAGGTTATGCATTCTATTTATTTATTCATTTATTTTCAGATGGAGTCTTGCTCTGTCTCTCAGGCTGGAGGGCAGTGGTGTGATCTCAGCTCACTGCAACCTCTGCCTCCAGGATTCAAGCAATTCTCCTGCTTCAGCCTCCTGAATGGCTGGTAGCTGGGATTACAGGCCTGCGCCACCACGCCCGGCTGATTTTGTATTTTTGGTAGAGACGGTGTTTCCCCATGTTGGCCAGGCTGGTCTCGAACGCCTGACCTCAGGTGATCTGCTCGCCTCAGCCTCCCAAAGTGCTGGGATTACAGGCATGGGCTACCACACCTGGCTGATTTTGTATTTTGGGTAGAGACGGGGTTTCCCCTTGTTGGTCAGGCTGGTCTTGAACTCCTGACCTCAGGGGATCCACTGTCGTCGGCCTCCCAAAGTGCTGGGATTACAGGTGTGAACCACCATGCCTGGCTTAATTTTTGTATTGTTATTATTTTTTTAAGTAGACATGGGGTTTTGCCATGTTGGCCAGGCTGGTCTCCAACTCCCGACCTCAGGTGATCCACCCGCCTTGACCTCCCAAAGTGCTGGGATTCCAGACATGAGGCATCACGCCTGACCTTTATTCCTTTCGTTTCTTAATAAACTTGTTTTCCCTTTATGCTACGGACCAGCCCCGAATTTTTTCTTACCCAAATTGCATTCTGCAGGATCAGGGGTGGTGTCTCTTTTCTGACTCAGGAAGAGAGGGCGGGTGATTTGCGCCAAACCCTTTCTTGGAACTCAGAGGGCACGGGGATTTTGTAACCAATGCTGTTCTGCAAGACAGAAGTTTGGCCCAGTGAGCGTGTGGCAGGTCAGGTCTCAGTCAGACAGCCCTCCGTCACAACCGCTTCAGCACTGACTCAGTGGCAAAATTAAATATGAAAAGCTGAAAGAGGCCGGGTGCGGAGGCTCACGTCTGTAATCCCAGCACTTTGGGAGGCCGAGGTGGGCGGATTGCTTGAGGTCAGGAGTTCAAGACCAGACCCACCAAAACAGTAAAACCCTGTCTCTTCTAAAAATGAATTAGGTGGATGGATTGCTTGAGGTCAGGAGTTTGAGACCAGCCCGACCAAAACAGTAAAACCCTGTCTCTTCTAAAAATGAATTAGGTGGGTGGATTGCTCGAGGTCAGGAGTTCAAGACCAACCCCACCAAAACAGTAAAACCCTGTCTCTTCTAAAAATGAATTAGGTGGGTGGATTGCTCGAGGTCAGGAGTTCAAGACCAGCCCCACCAAAACAGTAAAACCCTGTCTCTTCTAAAAATGAATTAGGTGGGTGGATTGCTCGAGGTCAGGAGTTCAAGACCAGCCCCACCAAAACAGTAAAACCCTGTCTCTTCTAAAAATGAATTAGGTGGGTGGATTGCTCGAGGTCAGGAGATCGAGACCAGCCTGACCAAAACAGTAAAACCCTGTGTCTACTAAAAATAAATTAGGTGGGTGGATTGCTTGAGGTCAGGAGTTCAAAACCAGCCTGACCAAAACAGTAAAACCCTCTCTCTACTAAAAATGAATTAGGTAGGTGGATTGCTTGAGGTCAGGAGTTCAAGACCAGCCTGACCAAAATAGTAAAACCCTATCTCTACTAAAAATAAATTAGCCGAGTGTGGTGGTGCACCTCTAGTCCCAGCTACTCAGGAGGCTGAGGTGGGTGGATTGCTTGGAGTCAGGAGTTCAAGACCAGCCTGACCAACATGGTAAAACCCTGTCTCTACTAAAAATCAAACATTAGCTGGGCGTGGTAGCGGGCACCTGTAGTCCCAGCTACTCAGGAGGCTGAGGCCGGAGAACTGCTTGAACCCAGGAGGCGGAGGTTGCAGTGGGCCGAGATCACGACAGTGCACTCCAGGCTGGGCAACAGCCAGACCGTCTTGCTCTGTTGCCCAGGCTGGAGTATAGTGGCACCATCTCGGCTCAGTGCAGCCTCTGCCTCCTGGGTTCAAACGATCCTCCTGCCTCAGCGTTCTGAGAAGCTGGGGTTACAGGTGCTCACCACCACGCCTGTCTAATTTTGTATTTTTAGTGGAGAAGGAGTTTCTCTATGTTGGTCAGGCTGGTCTTGAACTCCTGACCTCAGGTGATCTGCCCACCTCAGCTTTCCAAAGTGCTGGGATTACAGGCGTGAGCCTCCGTGCCTGGACTAAGGAAGGAATTTTTAACAGGACCCATTTAGGTTTAAACAAGTCTTATTGGGGGGGTATAAACAAACTCCCAAAACTTTATGATTTCACAGAAGACAAGATACGATACTGCCTGTAATCCCAGTGCTTTGGGGGCCTGAGATGGGGGGATCACTTGAGGTCAGGAGTTCGAGACCAGCGTGGCCAACATGGCGAAACCCCGTCTCTTCTAAAAATACAAAAAGTTAGCCAGGTGTGTGTTGTGGGGGGTCCCTGTAATCCCAGCTCCTCTGAGGCAGGAGAATCACTTGAACCCGGGAGGCGGAGGTTGCACTGAGCCGAGATGGAGCCATTGCATTCCAGCCTGGGTGACGAAGTGAGACTCTGTCTCAAAGAAAAAAAAAAAGGGAAGCAAAACCCCATGTAAAGCTATAAATGGGTCAGATAAGTCCATGGAAGACGCCTGTCTTGCCCAGAAGCAGAGGACTCGGAAAGGAAAATATCTGAGACCCCAAAATCATGAAGCTAAAAGGAACATTCATGCTGGGAGCTGCTCAGGGGTGCCTGCCTCCCATTCTTTTTTTTTTTTTTAATTTTTTTTATTTATTTATTTTTTAAATTGCATTTTAGGTTTTGGGGTACATGTGCAGAACATGCAAGATAGTTGCATAGGTACACATGTGGCAGCGTGATTTGCTGCCTTCCTCCCCTTCACCTATATCTGGCATTTCTCCCCATGCTATCCCTCCCCAGCTCCCCCCCACACTGTCCCTCCCCTATTCCCCCCAATAGACCCCAGTGTGTATTGCTCCCCTCCCTGTGTCCATGGGTTCTCATTATTCAACACCCGCCTATGACTGAGAACATGTGGTATTTCATTTTCTGTTCTTGTGTCAGTTTGCTGAGAATGATGGTCTCCAGGTTCATCCATGTTCCTACAAAGGACATGACTTCATCATTTTTGATGGCTGCATAATATTCCATGGTGTATCTGTGCCACATTTTCCCAGTCCAGTCTCTCCTCGATGGGCATTTGGGTTGATTCCAGGTCTTAGCAAAGACCTGCCTCCCATTCTATTCAAGGTCTCCCCTCTGCTCACTGCGATATTCTGATTGCCACCTTTGGAAAGGCTCATCAGAAACTCAAAAGTCCCTGTCTTTTTCCTTCTCATTTTTTTTTTTTTTTTGTTGCTATAGAGTCTCACCGTGTCTCTCAGGCTGGAGTGCAGTGGCGTGATCTCAGCTCATTGCAACCTCCACCTCCCAGATTCAAGGGATTCTACTGCCTCAGCCTCCCGAGTAGCTGGGATTACAGGCATGCGCCAGCACATTTAGCTAATTCTGTATTTTTAGTACAGACTGGGTTTCTCCATGTTGGCCAGGCTGGTCTCAAAGTCCCCACCTCCTGTGATCCGCCCACTTCGGCCTACCAAAGTGCTGGGGTTACAGGCGTGAGCCACCTGACCTGGCTAGTTTTATTATTTTTAAATTTTTTATTTCTTTGAGATGGAGTCTTACTCTATTGCCCAGGCTGGAGTGCAATGGCGCGATCTCGGCTCACCGCAACCTCCGCCTCCTGGGTTCAGGCAATTCTCCTGCGTCAGCCTCCTGAGTAGCTGGGATTACAGGCACGCGCCACCACGCCCAGCTAATTTTTGTATTTTTAGTAGAGACTGGGTTTCACCTTGCTGACCAGGATTGTCTCGATCTCTTGACTTCGTGATTCACCCGCCTCGGCCTCCCAAAGTGCTGGGATTACAGGCGTGAGCCACCGCGCCCGGCCCTAATTTTTGTACTTTTAGTAGAGACGAGGTTTCACCATGTTGGCCAGGCTGGTCTCAAACTCCTGACCTCCTGATCTGCCCACCAGGGCTTCTCAAAGTGCTGGGATGACAGGCATGAGCCCCCATGCCCGGCTGTAAACATCGTTGTTAAAAATGAATATTCTATCATGAAAGCAACGTGACAATAATTAACAGATATGAGACTTAGTACCTGGTTTGATTAAAGAGACCGTACAGTGAGTCCCCATGACACAAGTTTACCTATATGAGAAACCTGCACATATACCCATAAACTGACCCCCAAAAGGACAGAAGGTTGAGATAAATAAGCATAAGGTACAGAAACCTCATCACGTGTTCAGGGCGGAGTGCACGTGGCAGCCACAAGGATACATGACGTTACTCTGGCCACATTCAGTGGCTCACATCTGTAACCCCAGCACTTCTGGAGGTGCAGGTGGGAAGATGGCTTGAGCTCAGGAGTTCAAGACCAGCCTGGGTAACACAGCGAGACCCCTTCTCTTGAGAAAATCAAAAATTAGCCAGGCATGGTGATGGATGCCTGTCATCCGAAGTACCAAGGAGGCCGAGGTGGGAGGATCACTTGAGCCTCAGAAGTAGAGGCTGCAGTGAGCCAAGATGGCGCCGCTGAGCTCCGACCTGGCCAGAGGATCTCCCTAGCAATCATTTCCTTCCCCTCAATAGAATTCCTTCTCTCCCACTCCAGGGTAGAAGATGCAAACCCTAAGAACATCGGACATGCAGGAGAATCTCTCTTCTCCCTCTGCAAAGGCCTGTTTTTGTGGGACGGACGCGCCACGCTTTCTGTAACCACAGGACGGTGCAGAACCCTGGGTCCGCCTCTGAGGCTCGGTCTTCATTCTAAAGCCTCCTGTGCTTACTACACGTTGCATGAATTTGCACACCTCACACCTGTCATCCCAGCACTTTGGGAGACCGAGGCGGGCAGATCACCTGAGGTTGGGAGTTGGAGACCAGCCTGATCATCATGGACAAATTCCCGTCTCTACTAAAAATACAACATTGGTTGGGCGTGGTGGTGCATGCCCATAATCCCACGGAGGCTGAGGCAGGAGAATCACTTGCTTGAACCCGGGAGGCGGAGGTTGCTGTGAGTCAAGATCGCACCATCAAAATTCAGCCTGGGCCACAAGAGCAAATTTCCTTCAAAAAAAAAAAAAATAAATTAATTAAAAAAGCTGGGCGCGGTGGCTCACACTTGTAATCCCAGCACTTTGGGAGGCCGAGGCGGGTGAATCACGAGGTCAAGAGAGCCAGACCAGCCTGGTCACCATGGTGAAACCCCGTCTCTACTCAAAATACAAAAAATTAGCTGGGCATGGTGGCACGTGCCTGTAATCCCAGCTACTCAGGAGGCTGAGGCAGGAGAATTGCCTGAACCCAGGAGGCGGAGGTTGCGGGGAGCCGAGATCGCGCCATTGTACTCCAGCCTGGGTGACAAGAGCGAAACTCCGTCTCAAAAAAAAAAAATAATAAAGAATTAGGGAAGCTGGTGAGCACCGCGTTACTCAACAGGAGGAGAGAGGCAGGCGCGGACGGAGGACGTGGCCATGCTGCTGATGTCACTCATGAGGCCGCAGGCCATGGAACCCTCGTGTTTCCGCCCGCGTGGATGGGCAGGGGCTGAACGTGGATCGCTGTGGCTCTTCTCCGGCCAAGCCCATGTCCAGGAGACTACTTCCTTCTGTCCCTTGTTAGACACTGAACACCCAAGACACAGCCTTCTCCAAACGGAGTCTGGCCTTGGCTCTCGGCTGGAGGGCGGTGACCTCTCAGGTCCCGGAACGGCCCCTGAGACTGTCTTTGTAGGCTTCATGGTCTAACAGTGTGGTTTAAGGTGGGTGCCTTGGACCAAGTGAGATCAGTTCCAACTTCCAGGAGGGAGCCTGACAAATAGTAGATAGATCCGATCTATCTATCTATCTATCTATCTATCTATCTATCTATCTATCAATCATCCATCTATCTATCTATCTATCTATCCATCTATCTATCTATCTATCTATCTATCTATCTATCATCTATGTATCTATCATCTATCTATCATCTATGTATCTATCTATCTATCTATCTATCTATCAATCATCTATGTATCTATCATCTATCTATCTATCATCTATGTGTCTATCTATCTATCTATCTATCTATCAATCATCTATGTATCTATCATCTATCTATCTATCATCTATGTATCTATCTATCTATCTATCTATCTATCTATCCATCTATCTATCTATCTATCTATCTATCATCTATGTATCTATCATCTATCTATCTATCATCTATGTATCTATCTATCTATCTATCTATCAATCAATCAATCAATCATCTATGTATCTATCATCCATCTATCTATCATCTATGTATCTATGTATCTATCTATGTGTCTATCATCTATCCATCTATCATCTATGTATCTATTATCTATCATCTATCTGTCTATCATCTATGTATCTATCTATCTATGTGTCTATCTATCATCTATCTATCAATCTATGTATCTATGTATGTATGTATATATCATCTATCTATCTATCTACATATTTCTCTATCTGTCTGTCTGTCTACCTATCTATCTATCTATATGTATCATGTATCTAAAATTCACCCATCAAGGCCTGGCGAGGTGGCTCACCCCTGTAATCCCACCACTTTGGGAGGCCGAGGTGGGTGGATCACTTGAGGTCAGGAGTTCGAGACCAGCCTGGCCAACATGGTGAAACCCCATGTCTACCAAAAATATTAAGACCTGGTGGTGTGATGGTGGACACCTGTAATCCCAGCTGCCCTGGAGGCTGCAGCCAGAGAATTGCTTGAAACTGGGAGGCGGAGGTTGCAGTGAGTTGAGATCGTGCCACTGCACTCCAGCCTGGGCAACAGAATGTGACTCCATCTCATAAAACAAAACAAAATAAAATACTAAAATAAAATGAAGTTCATCCATCATGTATTTATCAAATATGTGTCAGTCACGTATCTAGCTACCATCTATCACCCATATATCTATCATCTGTTCATCTATCATATATATTTTTATCTGTCATCTACTAATTATCACCTATCAATCATCCATCAGTCATCTATCAAATAGTCAATCATCTATTACCTATCCACCTGTCACTTCTTCATTTATCATTTTTTCATCTGTCATCTACCAATTAGCACCTATCAATCACCTATCTGTCATCTACATATATCATCTATTTTTTTTTTTTTAAGACAGGGTTTCTCCATGTTGGTTAGGCTGGACTCGAACTCCCGACCTCAGGTGATCTGCGTGCCTCGGCCTCCCAAAGTGCTGGGATGACAGGCGTGAGCCCCCGCGCCTGGCCCCAGATATCATATATTTAAATACAAATATACGCCAGCCGCGGTGGCTCACGCCTGCAATCCCAGCACTTTGGGAGGCAGAGGTGGGCAGATCACCTGAGGTCAGGAGTTCGAGACCATCCTGGGCAACCTGCTAAAACCCTGTCTCAACTAAAAACACAAAAATTAGCCTGGTTTGGTGGCAGGTGCCTGTAATCCCAGCTACTCGGGAGGCTGAGGCAGGAGAATCGCTTGAACCCCGGAGGCAGAGGTTGCGGTGAGCCGAGATAGCGCCATTGCACTCCAGCCTGGGACACACAGCGAGACTCTGTTGCAAAAACGATACAAAACAAAAGCATAGAAAACGATATGAAGGTTGACAGCATCATGAACACAAATACAGTTGCTGAATGTCTCGGGGGCGGAGAGGCGCCTGCTGCTCCTACACCCTCTGAGTCTCATGCAACTTCTTTCACCGTCAGGATCTCTTCGCGGTAGACCTTCCCTTCCTCTGCGGCGAATTCCTCCCAGATTATCTGAAAAAAAGAAGGAGGATTACTGCAGCCTCCACCTCCTGGGTTCAAGCAATTCTCCTGCCTCAGCCTCCCAAGTAGCTGGGATGACAGGCGCCTGCCACCCTGCCCGGTAATGTTTGTATTTTTAGTAGAGACAGGGTTTCACTCTGTCGACCAGGCTGGTCTCGAACTCCTGGCCTCAAGGTGATCCCCCCCGCCTCGGCCTCCCAAAGTGCTGGGATGACAGGCGTGAGCCACCGCGCCCTCCCGGGGGGGGTGGTGTTTTTCCTGGGGTGAAGATCTGAGACAGACCCACCCATGTGATCTCATGGTTGGCGATGAACAGAGTGGTCTTGGGAAGAGCTTCTGAGCCTGAACTCAGGACAGGGTACGGGAGGTGATAAGGCCTTAGCCATGGTCCTGGCAACTCGAGGTGGGGAACCCCTGGGGGTCAGTGGAAAGTGGGGGCCGGGGAGGACGCTAGCATGGGGGTGGAAGAAAACAGAATGACAGATGGCCAGGGATGCAGGTGGGCCTCATCTAATCAGTTGAAGGTCCAAAGGGGAGGACGGTGGGACTCATCTAATCAGTCCAAAATCTAAAGGGGAAAGTCGAGCCTCAGCTAATCCGTTGAAGGGCTCAAAGGGGAAATGCTGGGCCTCATCTAAATAGTGGAAGATCTAAGAGAAGGGTGGACCTCATCTAATCAGCTGAAGGTCTGACGGGGGAAGGTGGGCCTCATCTAAATAGTGGAAGATTCTAAAGAGGAAAAGGTGGGCCTCATAATCAGTCAAAGGTCTAAATGGTAAAGGCTGAGGTTTTCTGGAGAAGAGATTGTTTTGTTTTTGCTTTTACACAGAGTCTGACTCTGTCGCCCAGGCTGCAGTGCAATGGCGGGATCTCGGCTCACTGCAACCTCTGCCTCCCGGGTTCAAGTGATTCTCCTGCCTCAGCCTCCTGAGCAGCTGGGAGGATTACAGGCGCCTGCTGCCACGCCCAGCTAATTTTGTATTTTCAGTTGAGACGGGGTTTCAGCATGTTGGTCAGGCTGGTCTCAAACCCCCGACCTCAGGTGATCCAGCCGCCTCGACCTCCCAAAGTGCAGGGATTACAGGCATGAGCCACCGCGTCCAGCCCAGTCTACCTCCCCCACCTGCCTCAATTTCTCCTAATGGAGCTCACAGAGAAAACGCTGACCACGACCTGACTACACCCTGACCCAATCCCAGGCGGAAGGGCCAGGAGCTGGATACAGATTCCAGCCACACCCCGTGGTGACGCCGAGGTTCCAGCTGGTGGAGAATCAGGACAGCTGACACTCAGAACCCGTGTCCCCATTCCCCGTTCCCCGGTTTTCCACCCCAGCTCTCCGCTCCGCCCACCCCTACCTACCTGGTCCTCCACCTGACTCTCATCGTTGAGTTTGTCTTTGATTTTTGGAACTGGGGGGAAGAGTCGCTGCATCACGACACACCTGAGGGACAGAGAGAGAAAGTGTGAAGGGAGCCCCAGGCCACCAGAGTTCCTTCCTCAGGATGCTCAGTTCAAGGTATCTGAGATCAACTACCCAAAACAACTTCACTAAGAATCACCAAGTGATGAAAATCTTGGCCAGGCGCGGTGGCTCACGCCTGTCATCCCAGCACTTTGGGAGGCCGAGGCACGCAGATCACCTGAGGTCGGGAGTTCGAGACCAGCCTGGCCAACATGGTCAAACCCCGTCTCTACAAAAAATTAGCAGAGTGTGGTGGCGGGTGAGTGTCAACCCAGCCACTGTGGAGGCTGAGTCAGGAGGATTGCCTCAATCCGGGAGGTGGAGGTCGCAGTGAGCTGAGATGGCACCATTGTACTCCAGCCTGGACGACGGGAGCAAGACTCCATCTCAGAAAAAAAAAAAAAAAAAGGAAAAAAGATCATTGCAAATGTAATTAGTTAAGGATGTCAAGATGACATGATCCTGGGTTGGAGGGAGTTCTAAATCCAATGACAGGAATCCTTCTGAGACAAGCAGAGGAGGAGGCCACGTGGAGACAGCGGCTGAGACTGCAGTGATGGGGCCGCAAGCCCAAGGCACCCGGTGCCCCCCAGGAGCTGGGCAAGGCAGGAAGCATCCTCCCCTGGAGGCTCCAGAGGGAAGATGATACAATTGTTTTGAATCAAACTATCGTCCCCCTAAAACCTCTCTCCACAGCCTAAGTTCCGGAATTTGTGAATGGGGCCTTATCAGAGATACAATCTCTGCAAATGTCACTAAGTCAAGGATTTTGACATGAGAAGAGAGAGAAAGAGAGAGACACACACACAGAGAGAGAGAAGACACAGAGAGAGAGGGGGGAGGCAGAGAGAGAGATGATAGAGAGAGAAGAGAGAGAGATGAGAGAGAGAGAGGACAGAGAGACAGAGACAGAGAGGGCAGAGAGAGAAAGACAGAGAGAGAGAGGATAGAGAGAGAAAGAGAGAGAGAGAGGACAGAGAGAGAAAGACAGAGAGAGAGAGAGGACAGAGAGAAAGACAGAGACAGACAGAGAGAGAGAGGACAGAGAGAGAGAGACAGAGAAGAGCCGGGCGCATCACCTGAGCCCGGGAGTTTGAGACCAGCTTGACCAACATGGAGAAACCCCTTCTCTACCGAAAATACAAAAATTAGGCGGGTGTAGTGGCGCACGCACGTGGTCCTAGCTCCTCAGGAGGCTGAGGCAGGAGCTGAGACAACCAGGAAGCATCCTCCCCTAGAGCAGGAGCCACACAGGGCATGAAGGCAACACCTCTGTGCCTACAGCCCAGCTCTGTGGGGAGCAGGGGGGACCTCACGTCCGGCAACAACATGGCGTCCCAAGTAAGGTCTCCGTATTACTGGATGGGTGACGGGACCAGCAGCTACCTTTGCAGCCGTCTCTGTGTTTCTTTATTATTATTATTATTATTGCATTTTGGGTTTTGGGGTCCATGTGAAGAACATGCAGGACTGTTGCATAGGTGCACACGTGGCAGTGTGATTTGCTGCCTTCCTCCCCTTCACCTATATCTGGCATTTCTCCCCATGCTGTCTCTCCCCAGCTCCCCATCCCCCACTGTCCCTTTGCTATTTCTGCCCAACAGACCCCAGTGTGTGACGCTCCCCTCCCTGTGTCCATGTGTTCTCAGTGTTCAACACCCGCCTATGAGTGAGAACATGTGGTGTTTGGTTTTCTGTTCTTGTGTCAGTTTGCTGAGAGTGATGGTCTCCAGGTTCATCCATGTCCCTGCAAAGGATGTGAACTCATCCTTTTTGATGGCTGCATAGAATTCCATGGTGTCTACCAGACACATTTCCTTCATCTAGTCTATCATTGATGGGCATTTGGGTTGGTTCCAGGTCTTTGCTATTGTGAACAGGGCTGCAATGCACATACGTGTGTGTGTGGTGCACACGTGGCAGTGTGATTTGCTGCCTTCCTCCCCTTCACCTATATCTGGCATTTCTCCCCATGCTATGTCTCCCCAACTCCCCACCCCGCACTGTCCCTCCCCTATTCACACCCCAGTGCGTGATGCTCCCCTCCCTGTGTCCATGTGTTCTCATTGTTCAACACCCACCTATGAGTTCAACACCCGCGGTGTTTGACACAGACACACTCTGGAGAAAGCGCCGTTGCCCCCACCCCGCCTGCCTGTTTGCCTGGGGGCTGCTGAGGTGTTTCAGGGATTACCTTTTAAAGAGGAAGCCGAGGACCAGGGCGCACACCAGGGTCCCGAGGATCAACGGCACGTAGATGTGCGCGGAGCTGGTCTGCCTATCATCAGAGCCTGGAGAGACACAGGAATGCATCTGCCATGAATCACTGACGGACGTGGGAAAGGAAATTAACTTTCTGTTTTTGGGAGGGAGGGGCTGCAGTGGCTCACACCTGTCATGCCAGCACTTTGGGAGGCTGATGTGGGTGGATCACGAGGTCATGAGTTCAAGACCAGCCTGGCCAACACGAAAAAACCCCATCTCTACTAAAATACAAAAATTAGCTGGTTATGGTGGCGCGCGCCTGTAATCCCAGCTACTCGGGAGGCTGAGGCAGGAGAATTGCCTGAACCCAGGAAGTGGAGGTTGCAATGAGCTGAGGTCACGCCACTGCACTCCAGCCTCAGAAACACAGCGAGACTCTGTCTCAAAAAAAAAAAGACGTAGTTTTGCTCTTGTTGCCCAGGCTGGAGTGCAATGCCGTGATCTCAGCTCACCGCAAGCTCTGCCTCCCGGGTTCAAACGATTATCCTGCCTCAGCCTCCCGAGTACCTGGGATTACAGGCGTGCGCCACCATGCCCGGGCAATTTTTGTATTTTTGGTAGAGACGGGGGTTTCTCCGTGTCGGTCAGACTGGTCTCGAACTGCTGACCTCAGGTGATCCACCCGCCTCAGCCTCCCAAAGTGCTGGGACTACAGGCGTGAGCCACCGCGCCTGGTCAAGAAACTAACTTGTTTCGGGACTCCAAATGCATTTAGTGGAAGGGAAAAGCTGAGCGGAAACCGGCTTCAGCAAACCTGCCTCATTTTTGTTCCTAAGTAAGGCGGCCGTGAGATGAAAGGCCACCCGCCTCTCCGGTTTTGCCCACAGGGAAATTCCTGGTGAGCTGTTAAAACTTCACCATCCCGCTGGGCGCCGTGGCTCATGCCTGTAATCCCAGCACTTTGGGAGACCGAGGCGGATGGATCAGAAGGCCAGGAGTTCGAGACCAGCCTGACCAAAATAGTAAAACCCTGTCTCGACTAAAAATAAATTAGGTGGGTGGATTGCTTGATGTCAGAAGTTCGAAACCAGCCTGATCAAAAGGAGAAATCCCATTTCTACTAAAAATAAATTAGGTGGGTGGATTGCTTGAGGTCAGGAGTTCGAGACCAGCCTGACCAAAATAGTAAAACCCTGTCTCAACTAAAAATAAATTAGGTGGGTGGATTGCTTGAGGTCAGGAGTTCGAGACCAGCCTGACCAAAATAGTAAAACCCTGTCTCAACTAAAAATAAATTAGATGGGTGGATTGCTTGAGGTCAGGAGTTCGAGACCAGCCTGACCAAAATAATGAAACCCTGTTTCTACTAAAAATAAATTAGGTGGGTGGATTGCTTGAGGTCAGGAGTTCGAGACCAGCCTGACCAAAATAGTAAAACCCTGTCTCAACTAAAAATAAATTAGGTGGGTGGATTGCTTGAGGTCAGGAGTTCGAGACCAGCCTGACCAAAATAATGAAACCCTGTTTCTACTAAAAATAAATTAGGTGGGTGGATTGCTTGAGGCCAGGAGTTCAAGACCAGCCTGACCAAAATGGAGAAATCCCATCTCTACTAAAAATGTTAAATTATCCAGGCATGATGGCAGCTACCTGTAATCCCAGCTACTGGGGAAGGCTGAGGGAGGAGAATCGCCTGAACCTGGGAGATGGCGGTTGCAGTGAGCCGAGATCGCGCCACTGCACTCCAGACTGGGTGACAGAGTGAGGAACTCTACCTCAAAAAAAAAAAAATAGGCTGGGCGCAGGGGCTCACACCTGTAATTCCAGCACTTTGGGAGGCCAAAGTGGGTGGATCATCTGAGGTCAGGAGTTCGAGACCAGCCTGGCCAACATGGTGAAACCCTGTCTCTATATAAAAAATAATAATAATAAGAGGACATGACAGTATTCCTAGCCATGTTCTTTCTCTCTTTTTTTCTGACACAGAGTCTCGCTCTGTTGCCTAGGCTGGAGTGCAGTGGCATGATCTTGGCTCTCTGCAACCTCCGCCTCCCAGGTTCAAGTGATTCTTCTGCCTCAGCCTCCCAAGTGGCCGGGATTACCAGCGCCTGCCACCACACCCAGCTAATTTTTGTGTTTTTATTAGAAACGGGGTTTCACCATGTTGGTCAGGCTGGTCTTGAACTCCTGACCTCATGATCTGCACGCCTCGATCTTCCAATGTGCTGGGATTACAGGCGTGAGCCTCCGCACCAGGCCTTTCCCGATACTCTCAATCAAATCTCAGCACGCAGGACAGGGTAGCTGATGTCTGTTCCGCCTTCAAGGTGGTGGCAGATGGTAGAAATGTCCCCAACATCTCCGCAGCACACCCCAGGGCTTACCAAATTCAGTGGGCTTGCTCCAGGGACCCCAGGTCAGAATGCGGAAGTCAGCGGCTCTGATCTTCACAGAACGCTTAGCTCTGGGCTCAGAGCTTGGGAGGTTGTATCTATTATCCCAGTCACCCTGGACTGTAATCTTTGGAGGAAAAAAAGGAACGTTTTGTTTTTTTTTTTTGCATTTTTCAAGAGAGTTTCAAGTTTCTCTTGAAAACCTTTAAGAAACTTCAAGACAAAGTTTTTCAAGGGATGTTAAGAGAACTGTCTTCTACGTGGAGGAAAAGCTTGCCCTTTTTTCATTCTTTTGTCTTTAAAATTTTTTTTTCTACTCTTTTTCTCTTTCTCTTTTGAGACAGAGTCTCGTACTGTCGCCCAGGCTGGAGTGCAACGGTGTGATCTCTGCTCAGTGCGACCTCCGCCTCCCAGGTTCCAAGCGATTCTCCTGCCTCAGCCTCCTGAGTAGCTGGGATCACAGACGCGCACCACCACGCTATTTTTAGTAGAGACGGATTTTCACTATATTGGCCAGGCTGGTCTCAAACTTCTGACCTCAGACAGTCCGACCGCCTCAGCTTCCCAAAGTGCTGGGATTACAGGCGTGAGTCACCTCACCCGGCTTTTCCTTTTTTTCTGCCTCTCTGAATGCACCTGGTCTGATCTGAAGCAGAGTTAACTCTGGTTAGTATGGGGCATCATGTGGGAAAACCTGGGTGATTTCTACTCTATTCCATTTTATTTTATTTTATCTTATATTGAGACAGAGTCTCACTCTGTCACCCAGGCTGGAGTGCGGTGGCACGATCTCGGCTCACTGCACCCTCCACCTTCCGGGTTCAAGCCATTCTCTAGCCTCAGCCTCCTGAGTAGCTGGGATTACAGGTGACCGGCTGATTCTTGCATTTTCAGTAGAGACAGGGCTTCTCCGTGGTGGCGAAGCTGGTCTCGAACTCCTGCCGTCAAGTGATTTGTGGATGGTGGGAAACTCCTGACCTCATAATTCGCCCACGTCCGCCTCTCAGTACTGGGATTACAGGCTGAACCACCGTGCCTGGCTAAAATTTTACTTTTCAAAAAAGAAGGGGCGGGCACGGTGATTCACATGTGTAATTCCAGCACTTTGGGAGGCCGAGGCGGGCGGATCGTGAGGTCAGGAGTTTGAGACTGGCCTGGCCAACACGGTGAAACCCCGTCTCTACTAAAAATACAAACATTAGTGGGGTGTGGTGGTGGGTGTCTGTAGTCCCAGTTACTCAGGAGGCTGAGGCAGGAGAATCGCTTGAATCCAGAATGCAGAGGTTGCAGTGAGCGGAGATCGTGCCACAGCACTACAGTCTGGGCCACAGAGCAAGACTCGGTCTCAAAAATAAATACATAAATAAATTATTCAGGAGCCACAGCTGATATTAACAGGCCAGATGGACAGTTTAGCAGGGGAGGTTAACACCGTTATGTCCAGCATACTCACTGCACAGAGAAAGATACTGAGGGTCAGAGTGGCAGGGCGACTTGGAAAACATCCCAGAAAAGTGCTCACTCTAAAAGCATTTCAGAGGAAGAAATGTTCTCCTGAGACATTCACAGAGATGTATTCTTAACCCGCTCAGAAGAAAGAGGAAAAAGATATGAAGGTCAGTAGAAAAGGCTCAGCATCCATATGCCAACTGCTGCGGCATGATGCTTGAGGGGAACAGCAGACTCGGCCCCAGAACTGCGAGGTCTGCGTCTCTGGTTCAAGTTCAGCCCCATCCTGTCAACGCCTGGGTCACACTGGCACTAAGAGTCCTGTAAAATCAAACTGGAGGGTTACCCTAGGGGTCCTGAATCGCGGAGTGTAGGTGACGTGGGTGGTGAGTGGAGAGCGTGGGTGATGTGGGTGGTGAGTGGCGAGCGGGGGTGACGTGGGTGGTGAGTGGGGAGCAGGGATGACGTGGGTGGTGAGTGGGGAGCGTGGGTGATGTGCGTGGTGAGTGGAGAGCGTGGGTGACGTGGCTGGTGGGTGGGGAGCGTGGGTGACATGGGTGGTAAGTGGGGAGTGGGGGTGACGTGGGTGGTGAGTGGAGAGCATGGGTGACGTGGCTGGTGATTGGGGAATGTAGGTTTTGTGGGGTGGTGAGTGAGGAGTGTGGGTGACGTGGGTGGTGGGTGGGGAGCGTGGGTGACGTGCGTGGTGAGTGGGGAGTGTAGGCTTTGTGGGGTGGGGAGTGGAGGTGACATGGGTGGTGAGTGGGGCACGGAGGTGACATGGGTGGTGAGTGGGGAACGGGGGTGACGAGGGTTGTGAGTGGGGAGCGGGGGTGATGCGGCTGGTGAGTGGGGAGCGGGGGCGACATGGGTGGTGAGTGGGGAGTGGGGGCAACGTGGGTAGTGAGTGGGGAGTGGAGGTGACATGGGAGGTGAGTGGGGAGCGGAGGTGACGTGGGTGGTGAGTGGGGAGTGGAGGTGACGTGGATGGTGAGTGGGGAGCAGAGGTGACGTGGGTGGTGAGTGGGGAGTGGAGGTGACGTGGGAGGTGAGTGGGGAGTGGAGGTGACGTGGGTGGTGAGTGGGGAGTGGAGGTGACGTGGGTGGTGAGTGGGGAGTGGAGGTGACGTGAGAGGTGAGTGGGGAGCGTAGGTGACGTGGATGGTGAGTGGGGAGCGGAGGTGATGTGAGAGGTGAGTGGGGAGCGTAGGTGACGTGGATGGTGAGTGGGGAGCGGAGGTGACGTGGGAGGTGAGTGGGGAGTGGAGGTGACGTGGGTGGTGAGTGGGGAGCGGAGGTGACGTGGGTGGTGAGTGGGGAGTGGAGGTGACGTGGGAGGTGAGTGGGGAGCGGAGGTGACGTGGGAGGTGAGTGGGGAGTGGAGGTGACGTGGGAGGTGAGTGGGGAGCGGAGGTGACGTGGGAGGTGAGTGGGGAGCGGAGGTGACGTGGGAGGTGAGTGGGGAGCGGAGGTGACGTGGGTGGTGAGTGGGGAGCGGAGGTGACGTGGGTGGTGAGTGGGGAGCGGAGGTGACGTGGGAGGTGAGTGGGGAGCGGAGGTGACGTGGGAGGTGAGTGGGGAGCGGAGGTGACGTGGGAGGTGAGTGGGGAGCGGAGGTGACGTGGGAGGTGAGTGGGGAGTGGAGGTGACGTTGGTGGTGAGTGGGGACTGGAGGTGACATGGGGTGGTGGGCAGGGGCTGTGGAGTTATGCCAGCTGCGCTGAGTAGGGGATTTGGGGCTGAACTGTGGGTTGTTTTTAGGGGGATAGAGGGTTATGCTGGGGGTCGTGAGAACGGTCTGTGCTTTCACTTACCACTGTGTTCTCAGCATCAGGCTGGGAGTTCTAGAAAGGAACGACACAGAAAACAAGGCTCAGTGCTCCAGTGTCTAACCCACTTCAGACGGTGCACACAGGCTCTCCCTTTGTGTGGGCACCGAAAGGGTGAGTGTCCTGAGTACCTGCAGGCAGCTCTCCCTCCACAAACCCCAAATCTACAGGATACGGAGGTGAGGAGCTGCAGACACAGAATCCCCACTGGCCAGGGGCCTTCCTGCAACCACAGCTGCTGACCCACCCACGCAGGACCCAATGGCCTCGGGACAGGGTCTCCTCCTGTCTACACTGGGTCCAGGTGGAGGTGGGGCAGGGTCTCCTGTCTACACTGGGTGCAGGTGGAGGTGTGGCAGGGTCTCCTGTGTACACTGGGTGCAGGTGGAGGTGGGGCAGGGTCTCCTGTCTACACTCGTGCAGGTGGAGGTGGGGCAGGGTCCCCTCCTGTGTACACTGGGTGTAGGTGGAGGTGGGGCAGGGTCCCCTCCTGTGTACACTGGGTGTAGGTGGAGGTGGGGCAGGGTCCCCTCCTGTGTATGCTGGGTGTAGGTAGAGGTGGGGCAGGGTCCCCTCCTGTCTACACTGGGTGCAGGTGGAGGTGGGGCAGGGTCCCCTCCTGTCTACACTGGGTCCAGATGGAGGTGTGGCAGGGTCCCCTCCTGTCTACACTGAGTGCAGGTGGAGGTGGGGCAGGGTCTCCTGTCTACACTGGGCCCCCAGGTGCTTGCACCCACCTCTCTGCACACGTGCAGCTGGTACCGAAACTCCAGGTAGTGCAGGCGCTGGTGTGTCCTGGGCTGTTTCCAGCGCAGCAGACACTGCGTCTTGTTACAGGTCACGGTGATGTTGCTGGGCGGGTCGAAACGTTCTGTAACGAGGGTGCCAGACTCACCCCTGAACCCGGGGCCCACACGCCCGCTCTCTCCCTCGCAGACGAAGTGGCTCACGCCTGTCATCCCAGCACTTTGGGAGGCGGAGGCGGGTGGATCACCTGAGGTCAGGAGTTCGAGGCCAGCCCGGCCGACACAGTGAAACCCCGTCTCTACTGAAAATATAAAACATTAGCTACCTGGGAGGCTGAGGAAGGAGAATTGCTTGAACTGCAGAGGTCAGTCATTCATGGACAGCCACGGAAGGGGAGACTGTGGGAGCCGGGCAGGAGGGCCAGGCAGGTGCCAGGCACAGCAGAGACGCCCACGGGGCGGGGCCCTGGGTGGGAGCTGGGGATGGGCTGGGTGAGCGTCCGGGGCCTCAAGAGGCCGGGGGCGTCCAGGGGATGAAAGAGGCTGTGGGTGGGCTGCGCCGGGCTTGGGAAGAGGACAGGGTGTGGATTTGGGGGTCGCCTCCAACACGCCAGCCTGGAGAAGGTGCTGCTGAGGAAGGAAGGAAGTGGGAGAGGGAGGGAGGAGGAATGGAGTGAAGGAGAAGGGAGGGGAGGAAGGAATGAGGGGAGACGGGGAGAGATGGGGCGCACAGTGGCATCATCTTGTCTCACTGCAGCCTCCACCTCTAAGATTGAACGGATTCTTCTGCCTCAGCCTCTCAAATAGCTGGGATTACAGGCAGCTGCCACCACGCCCGGCTAATTTTCTATATTTATTAGAGACCCGGTTTCTCCATGTTGGCCAGGCTGGTCTCGAACTCCCGACCTCAGGTGATCTGCCCGCCTCGGCCTCCCAAAGTGCTGGAATCACAGGTGTGAGCCTCCGCGCCCGGCCAGTTATACAGATTTTAAGGCAAATTCCTTCTCACCTATAAACAACAGGAAATCGTATGATTTATTTCTTCCTCTCTCCCTTTTTTTTTTTTGTCAGCATTTTTGCAAGCGAGTTATTCTCACCGATTTTGTTTGTGTCCAAAAGCGAATCGAAGAACTGGATCCCGGCTTCTCCGCTGGTTCCGGTCACCAGGAAGTAATTGCGGGAGGTTAACCCCGTCAGGTTCCTCAGGTGACACCCCACGTGGGTTCCCGCGTCCTGCGTGTAATAAGGACACCGAATGTCCCTCCTTCCCCTGAAGGATTACAAAGTGTTCACAGACCAGCGGGGAAAATCACACAGAACAAAAACACAAATCCACAAGGCAACACCACGAAACCACAAAACATGAACAGAAAACCAGCACTTTCAGAAGCCGAGGCGGTTGAACCACAAGGTCAGGAGTTCGAGACCAGCCTGGCCCACATGGCGAAACTCCCGTCTCTAATAAAAATACAAAAATTAACCTGGGCGCAGTGGCTCATGCCTGTAATCCCAGCGCTTTGAGAGGTGAGGTGGATGGATCACTTCAGGTCAGGAGTTCAAGACCAGCTGGCCAACATGGCGAAACCTCATATCTAATAAAAATACAAAATAATTAGCTGGGCATGGTGGTGTGTGCCTTTAATCCCAGCTACTCGGGAGGCTGAGGCAGGAGAATTGCTTGAACCCGGGAGGCGGAGGTTGCAGGGAGCCGAGGTCGCGCCATTGCACTCCAGCCTGGTGCCCGGTTACGGAGTGAGACTCTGTCTCAAAAAAAAAAAAAAAATTAACCTGGGCGCGGTGGCTCATGCTTGTAATCCCAGCGCTTTCAGAGGTGAGGTGGGCGGATCACTCGAGGTCAGGAGTTCGAGACCAGCCTGGCTGAGATGGTGAAACCCCGTCTCTACTTAAAATATAAAATTAGCCGGGTGTGGTGGCGGGCGCCTGTAATCCCAGCTACTCAGGAGCCTGAGGCAGGAGAATCGCTTGAACCCGGGAGGCGGAGGTTGCAGTGAGCCGGGATCGCCCCATTGCACTCCAGCCTGGGCGACAGAACAAGACTCTGCCTCAAAGAAAGAAAAAGAGAAAAAATGAACAGCATTATTTTCCCCCATCCCTGCCTTCCTCATAATTCTTCACATGAGGTGAACACTTACTTTGAGTCTTGTATGGACAAAAAATACTGGACATCACGGGGGGCGGTCGGACCCCTCGCCCAGCTGCAGTTCATGAAATCCGCATTGTATATGAAGCAGGAGAAATTGCGGGCAGCAGTCCCCTCCCTACCTGGGGAGAGGCAGAACAAGACAATTTTCACTCAAAAGGTAAACGGGGCCGGGAGCGACGGCTCATGCCTCCCAGCACTTTGACAGGTCAAGGTGGTCGAATCACCTGAGGTCAGGAGTGCGAGACCAGCCTGGCCAACATGGTGAAACGCCGTCTCTACTAAAAATACAAAAAATTGGCCAGGCGCAGTGGCTCACACTTGAAATCCCAGCACTTTGGGAGGCTCAGACGGACACATCACCTTAGGTCAGGAATTCAAGACCAGCCTGGCCAACGTGGTGAAACGCCGTCTCTACTAAAAATACAAAAAATTGGCCAGGTGCAGTGGCTCACACCTGAAATTCCAGCACTTGGGGAGGCCGAGATGGACACATCACCTGAGGTCAGGGGTTCGAGATCAGCCTGGCCAACATGGTGAAACCCCGTCTCTACTAAAAACACAAACAATTGGCCTGGCGTGGTGGCGAATGCTTGTAATCTTAGCTACTAGGGAGGCTGAGGCAGGAGAGTCGCTTGAACCCAGGAGGTGGAGGTTGCAGTGAGTGGAGATTGTGCCACTGAACTCCAGCCTGGGAAACGAGAATGAAACTGTGTCTCAAAAAAATAAATAAATAAAAATGCAAAAACTTAGCTGCGGTGGCACATGCCTTTAATCCCAGCACTTTTGGACGCTGAGGCGGGTGGACCACGAGGTCAAGACATTGAGACCATCCTGGTCAACATGGTGAAACCCCGACTCTACTAAAAATACAAAAATTAGCTGGGCACGGTGGTGCATGCCTGTAATCCCAGCTACTCGGGAGACTGAGGCAGGAGAATTGCTTGAACCCAGGAGGCAGAGGTTGCATTGAGCCGAGATGGCACCACCACACTCCAGCCTGGGGGACAGAGCCAGACTCCAGCTCTTAAATGGGATGTAGTTTGACGGTCTTGGGTGCGGCTTGGAATGGCGGGGAGTGCTGTGGAGAGATTCCAGCCTTGTCTTCCTTACCGGAGTTTGGATAAGGCATTTTTTCTTGAATTACTCCTTGGCTGGTCTGCACGTGAACCTCAAACGTGACTCCTCCATGTAGAGTGACCTCCCGAAAGGTACACGAACATTCTTTCTTCCTGAGCTGAGAAGTTGCAGCGCGTCAGAGCAGATTAGGAAATGAATTTGTCTCCTCTGCTCACATAGAAACTCGGAGACACCCACCTGCCTCCCTTCATGAGTCCTATGCCTCCTCCTAGGACTCTGAGTGGATTCCCCAAATACCAGCCGGCAGGTGGAAAAAGAATATCATAATCGAGCATTGCTTAGAATATCAGAGTAAGGCAGGGTGGGGTGATTTATGCCTGTCATCCCAGAACTTCGGGAGGCCGGGGCGGGAGGATCACCAGAGATCAGGAGTTCAAGACCAGCCTGGCCAACAAGGTGAATCCCCGTCTCTACTATAAATACAAAAATCAGCCGGGCGTGGTGGCAGGTGCCTGTAGTCCCAACTACTTGAGAGGCTGAGGCAGGAGAATCTCTTGAACCCGAGAGGCGGAGGTTGCAGTGAGCTGAGATCACACCATTGCAGTCCAGCCTGGGCGACAGAGTGAGACTCCATCTCAAAAAAAAAAAAAAAAAAATCCTCCACAGACCCAGGCTCCCATCTAATCGCACTTGCCGGGATTTCTCATCTCTTTGGGTGAAATACACTCTCCCCCAGGGAATCAGGCTGTCAGACCAGACACATCGCAGACACAAGGCAGGAGAATTTTGCTCTTGTCACCCAGGCTGGAGTGCACTGGCACGATCTCGGCTCTCTGCCACCTCCGCCTCCCGGGCTCAAGCCAGTGTCCTGCCTCAGCCTGCTGAGTAGCTGGGATTACAGGCACCTGCCAGCACGCCAGCTAATTTTTGTGTTTTTATTAGAGAGGGTTTTGCCATGTTGGCCAGGCTGGTCTCAAAGTCCTGACCTTGTGATCCACCCCCCTCGGCCTCCCAAAGTGTTGGATTGAAAGCATTAGCCACTGTGCTCTGCCTAATTTTTTTTCTTTTTTCTTTCTTTTCTTTTTTTTAAAAATTTTTATGTTTTGAGATGAAGTCTCGCTCTGTTGCCCAGGCTGGAGTTCAGTGAGTCGATCTCGGCTCCTGGTTCAAGCGATTCTGCTGCCTCAGACTCCCGAGTAGCTAGGATGACAGGTGCATGCCACCAAAACCAGCTAATCTTTTGTATTTTTAATAGAGACAGGGTTTCAGCGTGTTGGCCAGGCTGACCCTGAACTCCTGACCTCAGGTGACACCCCTGCCTCAGCCTCCCAAAGTGCTGGGATTACAGCCGTGAGTCGCTGTGTCCATCCAGCTGGCCCCGTTGCTTTTAAGTCAGCGACTGCTGTGTCCGTCTCACCCTGTATTCGATGGGTCCTTCCTTCTTGTGTATTAAGATGCACCTGCTGAGGGTGGTGTTTTCCTTACAGCTCCAGCTTAATCTCATTGTCCTGGAGTCAAACGTGATGTTGAGGCTGGAGGCTGGGGCCACAGTTGTTCGACCTGGAAGAAAGGGCGGGCGGATTCAGAATTCCCTCTTTTCCTGTTTTTTCTTTTATTATTATTATTTTTAATGAGACAGAGTTTCATTCTTGTCGTCCAGGCTGGAGTGCAGTGGCGTGATCTCGGCTCACTGCAGCCTCCGCCTCCCAGGTTCAAGCGATTCTCCTGACTCAGCCTCTCGAGTAGCTGACATTACAGGCAACCCCCACCCACCTCACCCGGCTATTTTTGGTTTTAGTAGAGACGGGTTTTCTCCATGTTGGTCAGGCTGGTCTCGAACTCCAGACCTCAGGTGATCCGCCCACATTGGCCTCCCAAAGTGCTGGGATAACAGCCGTGAGCCACCACACCCGGCCTAATTATTATATTTTTTAGTAGAGACGGGGTTTCTCCATGTTGGCCAGGCTGGTCTCGAACTCCCGACCTCAGATGATCCGCCCACATTGGCCTCCCAAAGTGCTGGGATGACAGGCATGAGCCACCGCGCCTGGCCTAATTATTATATTTTTTAGTAGAGACGGGGTTTCTCCATGTTGGTCAGGCTGGTCTCGAACTCCAGACCTCAGGTGATCCGCCCACATTGGCCTCCCAAAGTGCTGGGATGACAGGCATGAGCCACCGCGCCTGGCCTAATTATTATATTTTTTAGTAGAGACGGGGTTTCTCCATGTTGGTCAGGCTGGTCTCGAACTCCCGACCTCAGGTGATCCGCCCACATTGGCCTCCCAAAGTGCTGGGATGACAGGCATGAGCCACCGCGCCTGGCCTAATTATTATATTTTTTAGTAGAGACGGGGTTTCTCCATGTTGGTCAGGCTGGTCTCGAACTCCCGACCTCAGGTGATCCGCCCACATTGGCCTCCCAAAGTGCTGGGATGACAGGCATGAGCCACCGCGCCTGGCCTAATTATTATATTTTTTAGTAGAGACGGGGTTTCTCCATGTTGGTCAGGCTGGTCTCGAACTCCCGACCTCAGGTGATCCGCCCACATTGGCCTCCCAAAGTGCTGGGATGACAGGCATGAGCCACCGCGCCTGGCCTAATTATTATATTTTTTAGTAGAGACGGGGTTTCTCCATGTTGGCCAGGCTGGTCTCGAACTCCAGACCTCAGGTGATCCGCCCACATTGGCCTCCCAAAGTGCTGGGATGACAGGCATGAGCCACCGCGCCTGGCCTAATTATTATATTTTTTAGTAGAGACGGGGTTTCTCCATGTTGGTCAGGCTGGTCTCGAACTCCCGACCTCAGGTGATCCGCCCACATTGGCCTCCCAAAGTGCTGGGATGACAGGCATGAGCCACCGCGCCTGGCCTAATTATTATATTTTTTAGTAGAGACGGGGTTTCTCCATGTTGGTCAGGCTGGTCTCGAACTCCCGACCTCAGGTGATCCGCCCACATTGGCCTCCCAAAGTGCTGGGATGACAGGCATGAGCCACCGCGCCTGGCCTAATTATTATATTTTTTAGTAGAGACGGGGTTTCTCCATGTTGGTCAGGCTGGTCTCGAACTCCAGACCTCAGGTGATCCGCCCACATTGGCCTCCCAAAGTGCTGGGATGACAGGCATGAGCCACCGCGCCTGGCCTAATTATTATATTTTTTAGTAGAGACGGGGTTTCTCCATGTTGGCCAGGCTGGTCTCGAACTCCAGACCTCAGGTGATCCGCCCACATTGGCCTTCCAAAGTGCTGGGATGACAGGCATGAGCCACCGTGCCTGGCCTAATTATTATATTTTTTAGTAGAGACGGGGTTTCTCCATGTTGGCCAGACTGGTCTCGAACTCCAGACCTCAGGTGATCCGCCCACATTGGCCTCCCAAAGTGCTGGGATGACAGGCATGAGCCACCGCGCCTGGCCTAATTATTATATTTTTTAGTAGAGACGGGGTTTCTCCATGTTGGTCAGGCTGGTCTCGAACTCCAGACCTCAGGTGATCCGCCCACATTGGCCTCCCAAAGTGCTGGGATGACAGGCATGAGCCACCGCGCCCGGTCTTGCCTGTTTTTGCTCTTCCCACCCTGCTCTGCGGGGTGAAGTTCAGGGCTGGACACTGTTCACTTTCCTGTCCCTGACGTGGCCCCAGGACGTCCCACGTCCTCAGGAATCTCCTCCCTTGTCCATCTTCCCTACGTTCTCACCACCCTGGCTGTTTCTGCAAAGGAGATGTCTTCCGCAGAACTATTCAAAAACCACCTGAAGGCCAGTCTCGGTGCCTGACGCCTCTAATCCTAGCCCTTTGGGAGTTTGAGGCAGCAGATTATGAGGTCAGGACTTCAAGACCAGCCTGTCTCTACTAAAAACTGAAAAATTAGCCAGTCGTGCTGACGGACACCTGTTATCCCACCTACTTAGGAGGCTGAGGCAGGAGGATCGCTTGAACCCGGAGGCGGAGGTTGCAGTGAGTCAAGACCTTGCCACTCTACTCCAGCCTGGGAGACAGAGCAAGACTCTGTCTCAAAAGAAACAAACAAAAAAGCACATGAACAGTGAGGGCGGTGGCTCATGCCTCTAATCCCAGCATTTTGAGGGGCTGAGGCAAAAAGGTGAGTTAAACCCAGCAGGTGGAGAACAGCCTGGGCAATGTAGCAAGATCCCATCTCTAAAAAAAAAAAATTCTTTAAATTAGGCAGGCATTGTGATACCCCTCTATACTCCCAGCTTGCTCTTTCTCCACATGGAGAAGTTTACTGCAAAATTAATCAAAAATCAGCTGAGCACAGTGGCTCACACCTGTGATTCCAGCACTTTGGGAGGCCGAGGCGGGTGGATCACGAGGTCAAGAGATCGAGACCATCCTGGTCAACATGGTGAAACCCCGTCTCTACTAAAAATACAAAAATTAGCTGGGCATGGTGGCGCGTGCCTGTAATCCCATCTACTAAGGAGGCTGAGGCAGGAGAATTGCCTGAACCCAGGAGGCGGAGGTTGCGGTGAGCCGAGATCGCCCCATTGCACTCCAGCCTGGATAACAAGAGCGAAACTCCGTCTCAAAAAAATATATATATATATATGAAAAATGAGCCAGGCATAGTGGCTAGTACCTGTAATCCCAGCTACTCGGGAGGCTGTGGAGGGGAACTCCTTGAACCCAGGAGGCGGAGGCTCCAGTGAGCCCAGATTGTGCCACTGCACTCCAACCTGGGAGACAGAGCAAGACTCCGTCTAAAAATAAAAATAAAAATGAAAAACCATCTGAAGGCTGAGTGCGGTGGCTGATGCCTGTAATCCCAGCAATTGGGAGGCTGAGACAAAAGCATGACTTGAGTACAGCAGGTTGAGACCAGTCTTGGCAACCCAGCAAGACTCCATCTCTACAAAACAAAAATAAAAATACATTCAAAATTAGCTTAGCATGGTGGGGCACGTGTGTCGCCCCACCTACGTGGCCAGCCGAAGTGGGAGGGTCACTTAATCCCAGAAAGTCGTGGCTGCAGTGAGCTGAGATCACGCCACTGCACTCCAGCCTGCGTGACACAGTGACACCCAGTCTCAAACAAAAAAAAAAAAAAAGAAGGAAAAAGAAAACCATTTGAATGAGAACAGGAAAACACGCTTTATCTGCAGTGATGAGGCTCAGAACACGCGTCCCAACCTGGCTATAATCCCAGCACTTTGGGAAGGGAGTGAGGGAAGAAGGGAGGAAGGAAGGAAGAAACACTTTGGCACCGTGCAGAGCTGAGTCCCCCACAACCACCTGGATGGTCGCTGGGTTAAACCCTGCAGGAGCTGAGTCCTGATCCTGGCCCCACAACCACCTGGATGGTCGCTGGGTTAAACCCTGGAGGAGCTGAGTCCTGATCCCGCCCCACAACCACCTGGATGGTCGCTGGGTTAAACCCTGGAGGAGCTGAGTCCTGATCCTGGCCCCACAACCACCTGGATGGTCGCTGGGTTAAACCCTGGAGGAGCTGAGTCCTGATCCTGGCCCCACAACCACCTGGATGGTCGCTGGGTTAAACCGTGGAGGAGCTGAGTCCCGATCCTGGCCCCACAACCACCTGGATGGTCGCTGGGTTAAACCCTGGAGGAGCTGAGTCCCGATCCTGGCCCCACAACCACCTGGATGGTCGCTGGGTTAAACCGTGGAGGAGCTGACTCCTGATCCTGGCCCCACAACCACCTGGATGGTCGCTGGGTTAAACTCTGGAGGAGCTGAGTCCTGATCCTGGCCCCACAACCACCTGGATGGTCGCTGGGTTAAAACCTGGAGGAGCTGAGTCCTGATCCTGGCCCCACAACCACCTGGATGGTCGCTGGGTTAAACCCTGGAGGAGCTGAGCCCTGATCCTGCCCCACAACCACCTGGATGGTCGCTGGGTTAAACCCTGGAGGAGCTGAGTCCCGGTCCTGCCCCACAACTACCTGGATGGTCGCTGGGTTATACTGTGGAGGAGCTGAGTCCCGGTCCTGCCCCACAACTACCTGGATGGTCGCTGGGTTATACTGTGGAGGAGCTGAGTCCTGATCCTGGCCCACAACTACCTGGATGGTCGCTGGGTTAAACCCTGGAGGAGCTGAGTCCCGGTCCTGCCCCACAACCACCTGGATGGTCGCTGGGTTAAACCCTGGAGGAGCTGAGTCCCGGTCCTGCCCCACAACTACCTGGATGGTCGCTGGGTTATACTGTGGAGGAGCTGAGTCCCGGTCCTGCCCCACAACTACCTGGATGGTCGCTGGGTTATACTGTGGAGGAGCTGAGTCCTGATCCTGGCCCACAACTACCTGGATGGTCACTGGGTTAAACCCTGGAGGAGCTGAGCCCTGATCCTGCCCCACAACCACCTGGATGGTCGCTGGGTTAAACCCTGGAGGAGCTGAGTCCCGGTCCTGCCCCACAACCACCTGGATGGTCGCTGGGTTAAACCCTGGAGGCCTCTGAGCCTTTGTTTTCTCCTCTGTAGAATGGGTGGATGGGCATGAAATAGGAAAGCAGGTGAGGCCAGTTAAGCTCTTATCATCTGCCTACGGGGTCCCTAATCAACATTACAGATGGAAGGCAAATATGCACGGAGGTATCCAGATAGGTCTCCAGACACGAGACATCTAAGCCGGAGCCATAGAGAAGGTGCAGCCAGGCTTTTATACGTACCCGAGTTCCCTGCGGTCAGGAGGACTGCAGCCTGCAGCAACCCAGACAGGAGAAGGGTTGTCACCAGGGGAAACTTCATGCTGACCAGAGAGAAGAGCTGCAGAGGGGCTGCAGGACAGAAAGTGTCACACAGTGAGGAGCAGGATTAGCCAGGGCACTCCTGGCATGGGGCCCCAGGGAACGTCCCAAGGAGGCCCATGTCCTAATCCCATGTGGGAGATAGAATAATGGCCCCAGAGATGTCCACGTCCTGATCCCCATGTGGGAGACACAATAATGATCCCAAAGATGTCCATGTCCTGATCCCCATGTGGGAGACAGAATAATGGCCCCAGAGATGTCCACATCCTGATCCCCATGTGGGAGACAGAATAATGGCCCCAAAGATGTCCATGTCCTGATCCCCATGTGGGAGACCGAATAATGGCCCCAAAGATATCCACATCCTAATTCCCATGTGGGAGACAGAATAATGGCCCCAAAGATGTCCACGTCCTCATCCCCATGTGGGAGACAGAATAATGGCCCCAAAGATGTCCACATCCTAATTCCCATGTGGGAGACAGAATAATGGCCCCAAGGAGGAGGAGGAGGAGGAGGAGGAGGAGAAGGGGAGGAGGAGGAAAACCTACAGTGGATGTTCCTACAAATGGTGAATTCAAGTAATTACACTTTTTTCTCTTTCTGAGTTGAAGTCTCGCTCTGTCACCCAGGCTGGAGTGCGGTGGCGCGATCTCGGCTCACTGCAACCTCCGCCTCCCGGGTTCAAGTGATTCTCCTGCCTCAGCCTCCCAAGTAGCTGGGATTACAGGTGCCCACCACCACGCCTGGCTAATGTTTTGTATTTTTAGTAGAGACAGGGTTTCTCCATGTTGGTCAGGCTGGTCTTGAACTCCCGACCTCAGGTGATCCGCCCGCCTCAGCCTCCCAAAGTGCTGGGAGCACCCGGCTCATGTCATTATAGTTTTGTTCAAACCCATGGAATACACAATGAGAATTCTCATGTAAAGTGTGTGACCAACTACTCACTTTAGTTAGTAACAATGCGTCAATATCAGTAATACCATATCAATATCGGCTCATATCAACCTGGCTGAACCGTCTCTGTGGCTTCTGCTTACATGTGGGTAAGAGAAAAGAGTACATAGGAACCCTTCGTAATTTCTGCACCTGGTGGAAACCAGCTGGCCCACCTGACGTTCCTGCTGCAGACTTTCTCTCTCGAAGATTGCGTATTGCTGGGCGCGGTGGCTCACGCCTGTGATCCCAGCCCTTTAGGAGGCCAAGGCACGTGAATCCTGAGGTCAGGAGTTCGAGACCAGCCTGGCCAACGTGGTGAAACCCCGTCTGTACTAAAAATACAAAAATCAGCCAGGCGTGATGGTGGTCACCTGTAATCCCAGCTACTCAGGAGACTGAGGCAGGAGAATCGCTTGAACCTGGGAGGCAGAGGTTGCAGTGAGCCAAGATTATGCCACTGCACTGCAGCCTGGGTGACAGAGCAAGACTAAGTTGTGTTGGCTCAAACCTGTAATGCTAGCACTTTGGGAGGCTGAGAGGCAGGCGGATCACCTGAGGTTAGGAGTTTGAGACCAGCCTGGGCAACAAGGTGAAACCCCATCCCTACTAAAAATTAAAAAAAAAAAAAAGCCAGGCGTGGTAGAGGGTGCTTGTAATCCCAGCTACTCCAGAGGGTGAGGCAGGAGAATCTCTCTCTCTTTTTTTTTTAATTGCATTTTAGATTTTGGGGTACATGTGAAGAACATGCAACATAGTTGCATAGGTACACACATGGCAGTGTGATTTGCTGCCTTCCTCCCTTCACTTATATCTGGCATTTCTCCCCATGCTATCTCTCCCCAACTCCCCACCCACCGCTGTCCCTCCCCTATTCCCCCCAACAGACCCTAGTGTGTGATGCTCCCCTCCCTGTGTCCATGTGTTCTCATTGTTCAACGCCCGCCTACGAGTGAGAACATGCGGTGTTTGATTTTCTGTTCTTGTGTCAGTTTGCTGAGAATGATGGTCTCCAGGTTCATCCATGTCCCTGCAAAGGATGTGAACTCATCCTTTTTGATGGCTGCATAGTGTTCCATGGTGTCTACCAGACACATTTCCTTCATCTAGTCTATCATTGATGGGCATTTGGGTTGGTTCCAGCTCTTTGCTATTGTGAACAGGGCTGCAATGCACATACGTGTGTGTGTGGTGCACACGTGGCAGTGTGATTTGCTGCCTTCCTCTCCTTCACCTGTATCTGGCACTTCTCCCCATGCTATCTCTCCCCAACTCCCCACCCCGCACTGTCCCTCTATTTGCCCCTGACAGACCCCAGTGTGTAACGCTCCCCTCCCTGTGTCCACGTGTTCTCATTGTTCAACACCCGCCTATGAGTGAGAACCAGCAGGCAGAGGTTGCAGTGAGCTGAGGTGGCACCTCGGCACTCCATGCTGGGTGACAGAGAGAGACTCCATCTTAAAAAAAAAAAAAAACAAAACGAAATAAGATTGTCTAAGAGGAACCTCGCTGGCTGCTAACGGGAAGTAAAAACGGACAGACCACACCTGCGTTCCTCTTCCCCTCCGCCCACTGCTCATGGCGACCGCCTGACGTGGACGTGTGGCCGGCTTCCTCCTCTGAACGGCTGCACGCAGCTTCCCGGTACCTGCCTCTGGCTCTTGCAACTGTTTTTCAGCGCTGGGCAGGCTCTCCTGAGGCACCCCAGACACCCACATTCTGAGCCGGGCACACTGGCTCACGCCTCTAATCCCAGCTCTTTGGGAAGCCAAGGCGGGCAGATCACGAGGTCAGGAGTTCAAGACCGTCCTGGCCAACATGGTGAAACCCAGTCTCTACTAAAATACAAAATTAACTGGGCGTGCTGGTGGGCCTGTGTAATCCTGGCTTTTTTGAAGGATGACGCGGGCGGATCACCGGAGGTCGGGAGTTTGAGACCAGCCTGAGCAACATGGAGAAAAACCCGCCTCTACTAAAAATACGAAATTAGCCGGGCATGGTGGCAAATGCCTGTAGTCCCAGCTACTCGGGAGGCTGAGGCAGGAGAATCGCTTGAACCTGGGAGGCAGAGTTTGCAGTGAGCCGAGATTGCGCCACTGCACTCCAGCCTGGCGACAGAGTGAGACTTTGTCTCAAAAAATAGATAAACAATAACTAAATATAATTAGTAAAAAAAAAAAAAAAAGAATGATATAAAATCAAGCTGGACTTCAGGCATCTTGGACACCGGTTCTCAGCACCTCATTAGAGAGTGTTCTCCTGGGCCTTGGTCACTCATATTTGGCTAAGAATAAACCTCTTTAAATATTTATTTTATTTTGTTTTTGAGATGGAATTTCACTCTTGCTGGCCAGGCTGGAGTGCAGTGGCACAATCACGGCTCAGTGCAACCTCCGGCTCTGGGGTTCAAGCAATTCTCCGGCCTCAGCCTCCCGAGTAGCTGGGATTAGAGCCTGCACCACCACGCCCGGCTAATTTTGTATCTTTAGTGGAGACAGGGTTTCACTGTGTTGGTCAGGCTGGTCTCGAACTCCCGACCTCAGGTGATCCAGCTTCCTTGGCCTACAAAAGAGCTGGGATTACACAGGTGCGCCAGCACACCCAGCTAATTTTGTATTTTTACTGGAGACGGGGTTTCACCATGTTGGTCAGGCTAGTCTCGAACTCCTGACCTCAGGTGAACCACCTGCCTCGGCCTCCCAAAGTGCTGGAATTACAGGCATGAGCCACCTCCTCCGGCCAGCGCTGGGCTCTTTATACCCAGCTTCAAGCCTCTCCTGTGCCTGGATACCCTTGTCAGGCTGCCTCGGGGGGATGCGTGCCATCTCAGAGGGAACCTGATGTGCTAAATCTGTCATAGGGCAGACAACCCTGCATTCAGAGTCCTCTGCCCTGAACTCCCACTTCCATCTTTCCTGTTCATCATGAGGGAGCAAAACATTTCAGTTCTTTATTTTTATTTTTTTTAAATTTCTTCTTTTTAAAGACAGGGTTTCACCATATTGGTCAGGCTGGTCTCGAACTCCTGACCTCGGGTGATCCACCCACCTCCGCCTCCCAAAGTGCCGAGATTACAGGCGTGAGCCACCGTGCCCAGCACATTTCAGTTCTTTAGACTTAAGAACAATAAATCCCCCATTTAGGCCGGGCGCGGTGGCTCATGCCTGTATCCCAGCACTTTGGGAGGCCGAGGCAGCTGGATCACGAGGTCAAGAGATCGAGACCATCCTGGTCAACATGGTGAAACCCCGCCTCTACTAAAAATACAAAAAATTAGCTGGGTACGGTGGCGCATGCCTGTAATCCCAGCTACTCGGGAGGCTGAGGCAGGAGAATTGCCTGAACCCAGGAGGCGGAGGTTGCGGTGAGCAGAGATCGAGCCATCGCACTCCAGCCTGGGCAACAAGAGCGAAACTCCGTCTCAAAAAATAAATAAAAAAATAAATAAAAATATATAAATAAATCCCCCATCACAGACAGCCCAAAGGAGGCCACGTACCGCGTTCTAGGCAAGCATCTCCACCTGTCCACTCCACGTTCTGTCTTCACCGGTTTCCTGCCGTGAACTGAGAAAGTAAAATAAATCTCAGGACCCAAAATCACGAAGCCAAGGGCAAGGTCATGCTGGAAACGGTGTCAGGCAAACCTGCCTCTCATTTTATTCATAAACAAAAAAATACTACAAAGATTTAAAAAACTGCACCCCAGGGCTGGGCACGGTGGGTCACTTCCGTCATCACAGCATTCCGGGAGGCTGAGGTGGGCAGATCACCTGAGGCCAGGAGTTCGAGACCAGCCTGGCCAACATGCGGAAACCCTGTCTCTACTAAAAATACAAAAATTAGCTGGGCGTGGTGGTGCTCGCTTCTAATCCCAGCACTTTGGGAGGCCAAGGTGGGCAGATCACCTGAGGCCACGAGTTCGAAACCAGCCTGGCCAACATACAGAAACCCTGTCTCTACTAAAAATACAAAAAATTAGCTGGGCGGGGAGGCGCACGCCTGTAGTCCCAGCTACTTGGGAGGCTGAGGCAGGAGAATCGCTTGAACCCTGGAGGCGGAGGATGAGGTGAGCTGAGATCTCACCACTGCACTCCAGCCTGGGTGACAGAGCAACACTCTGTCTCCCTCCCAAAAATAATAGTAATAATAAATAAATAAATATAAAATATTTATAAATCTTTAAAATATTATAGATATTTAAATTTATATATTTATATATAAATGTATGTATTTATATATATTTATAAATACATAAATTTAGAGTATATGTATAAAGTTATATATATTTATATATTTATTAATATATTATATATTACAATATATAATACATTTATTAATATCATATATATTATATATTTATTTATATATATTTATACTTATAAATATATTTTTAAATATTTATATTTGTTAATATATATTATCTTTTTAAATATATATTTATATATTTATCTTTTAAAATATATATTTATATACTTATCTTTTAAAATATATATATTTATATATATCTTTTTAAATATATATTTATATTTATAAACATATATATTTATATATTTATATTTATACATATATATTTTTACATATTTGTATTTATAAACATATTTTTATATATTTATATTTATATTTATAAACATATATATTTACATTTATAAATATACAAGTATTTATGTATATTTATATTTATAAATATACAAGTATTTATGTATATTTATATTTATAAATATACAAGTATTTATGTATATTTATATTTATAAATATATCAATTGCATTGGGCCTGGTGGTGGGCACCTGTAAACCCAGCTACTCGGGAGACTGAGGCAGGAGATACACTTGAACCCAGGAGGTGGAGGTTGCAGTGAGCCGACATCACACCACTGCACTGCAGCCTCGGCAACAGCGTGGGACTCTGTCTCAAATAAATAAATAAAATAAAATTAAATAAATACAAATACAAATACAAAAGTTAGCCGGGCGTGGTGGCTGAGGCAGGAGAATGGCTTGAACCTGGGAGGTGGAGGCTGCACTGAGCCGAGATTGCACCCCGGCACCCCAGCCTGGGCGACAGAACAAGACCCCATCTCAAATAATAATAATAAAATGTCTGAAGGAAAACTACCCCGTCTAGGGCACCTGTCATGGGTATTTCCTGAGGCTGTTCCACAGCCACACGCCCTTAACCTCGGCAAAATAAACTTTCCAAAGGCACTGAGACCTGTCTCAGATGGGTGTGCCTGGTGTGCAAAATGTTTTGTACCAACGGAAAATTATGCAACGTTTTTATGGTTTGTAGGCAGCACCTATATATTCTCTCTTCTTTTCATGTTTGCAGACTGCGTTTTCTTTCTCCTTTGCACTGATTTTGGCTGATTCGAAAATAGAAGCCTCTGAGCTTCCTCCTCTGATTTAAAGCAAGGATGGTGGAGAGTGAGGGAAATGAAAGTGTTTTGCCCCAAAACGCGGCTCCGCGCTATCAGGAGTATTTTAAATTAAAAACCCTTTGCTATTACCAAGCTCTGGAAAACATTTCCTCCGATGTCAGTAACAATAAAACTGACCTGCCCAGGAAAACAATTGTGTGGTTTTTTTTAATTATTATTTTTATTATTTAATTATTTTTTTCCCCCGGTCATCTGTTGCAGAAAAGAAGAGGAAGATTTTATTTTATTTTATTTTATTTTTCTGAGACAGAGTCTTGCTGTGTTTCCCAGACTGGAGTGCAATGGCTCGATCTCAGCTCACTGCAACCACCGCCTCCTGGGTTCAAGTGATTCTCCTGCCTCAGCCTCCTGAGTAGCTGGGACTACAGGCATCCATCACTGCATCCAGCTAATTTTTGTATTTTGTATTTTTAGTACAGATGGAGTTTCACTATGTTGGCCAGGCTGGTCTCGAACTCTTGACCTCAAGTGATCCACCGGCCTCAACCTCCCAAACTGCTGGGATTACAGGCGTGAGCCACCGTGCCCAGCCTACTGAGATATGACCACACCTGAACAGACCATTTCACAAGGAAAAAGCCTGTGTGGAACAATTGAGTGAATTAAGTTCTCCAAAGAGAACTACTTGCAAGTTATTATCTATTCCCAGATTCAAGTATTCTCTGTAGTGTGGACGAAAAGGGTCAGACTCTGTAAAATATTGGAGATTTATTCTGAGCCAAATATGGCTGAGCATGACCTGTGACGCAGGCCTCAGGAGGTCCGGAGAACATGTGATTGGGACGCAGCTTGGTTTTGTACATTTTAGGGAGGCATGGGACGTCAATCACATACATTTAAGACACACATTGGTGCTGGGCACGGTGGCTCACACCTGTAATCCCAGCACCTTTGGGAGGCTGAGGTGAGCAGATCACCTGACGTCGGGAGTTCCAGACCAGCCTGACCAACGTGGAAAAATCCTGTCTCTACTAAAAATACAAAAATTAGCCAGGCGTGGTGGCGGGAGCCTGTAATCCCAGCTACTCAGGAGCCTGAGATACGAGAATTGCTTGAACCCGGGAGGTGGGTGGATCACTTGAGGTCAAGAGTTAAGGAAAGGCTGGGTGTGGTGGCTCATGCCTGTATTCCAAGCACTTTGGAGGCCAAGGAGGGAAGATCACCTGAGGTTGGGAGTTCAAGACCAGCCTGACCAACATGGTGAAACCCCGTCTTAAAAAAAAGAGTTAAGAAAAAAACAAAATCAGAGGCTGGGTGTGGTGGCTCACCCCTGTAATCCCAGCACTTTGGGAGGCTGAGGCAGGTGGATCACGAGGTCAGGAGTTTGAGACCAGCCTGACCAACATAATGAAACCCGTCTCTACCAAAAATACAAAAATTAGCCAGGCGTGGTGGTGGGCACCTGTAATCCCAGCTCCTCAGGAGGCTGATGCAGGAGGATTGCCTGAACCTTGGAGGCGGAGGTCGCAGTGAGCCGAGATCATGCCAGTGCACTCCAGCCTAGGAGACAGAGTGAGATTCCATCTCAAACAGTAATTATAATAAATAATAAAAGAATACATTTTGGCTGGGCGCGGTGGCTCAAGCCTGTAATCCCAGCACTTTGGGAGGCCGAGGCGGGTGAATCACGAGGTCAAGAGATCGAGACCAGCCTGGTCAACATGGTGAAACCCTGTCTTATAAAAAATAAAAATAAAAATAAATAAAAGATAATATGTATTCTTGCAAAACATAGTGATGAGAAAGATTAATCCTTTAAAACAAATGCTTGAAGAGAAGCACATTTCCCCGTGATTCCTTTTTAATCATCTTTTTTTTTTTTTTGAGACGGAGCTTCTCTCTTGTTACTCAGGTCAACACAATCTCCACCTCCTGGGTTCAAGTGATTCTCCTGCCTCAGCCTCCCGAGTAGCTGGGACTACAGGGGCCCACCACCACACCCAGATAATTTTTGTGGCTTTAGTAGAGGTGGGGTTTCAAGACCGGTTGGCCAGGCTGGTCTCAAACTCCTGACCTCGTGATCCTCCCCACCTCGGCCTCCCAAAGTGCTGGGATTACAGGCGTGAAGCACCACGGCTGGCCCCTTCACTTTCTTAATAATCTTGCCTCTCGAGTAGCTGAGGTCACAGGCACCTGGCAACAGGTCCAGCTAATTATCGTCCTGTTAGTAGAGACGGGGTTTCACCGTGTTGGCCAGGCTGGTCTCCAACTCCTGACCTCATGATCCTCCCCACCTCTGCCTGTCAAAGTGCTGGGTTTACAGGCGAGAGCGAGGGCGCCCGGCCTGCATTCACCCTTTGAAACTGCTTCCCGTTGCCACAAACACCTATGAATTCACCTAAGAATACCGCGCCGGACGCTCCACCCAACTCATTGGAGCTTAGCAATGTACAGCCAATGCTTCATCAGTTGTTTCTTTTTCTTTCAATCCAGGAGAATTCCTGGCAAACAGCTTCACAGAAGCCCAATCCCTGTCCCCCAACACCTCCCTCACCCCCACTTTTTTTTCTTAACCGGCTTATAAGGAAGGCAGAATACAGCTTATAGCCGAGTATCCCTGGGGCTGACTCTTCGGGGCAGCCGAGCTGACTTTTGCTCAAGTCCACGCAAGTTTCAAATCATATTTTGTGTTTCTGTGTCTTTGTTTTAGATCCAGGGACAGAAGCAGAAACACGGACCCTGGTGGCTCCACATGCCGAAACAGGAGAACATTAAAGAATGCATCTTACCCCAGGGCACCTGCTGCCCCCCTTGCTTTCCTTCTCTTCTCCGGGGGACTCCAGCCTGGGCACCTCCTTTCACGGCTCCTCTCTGTCCTAATGGCCTGCCCGCCTCCTGCCTCGGCTTCCTCATTTCATAGGATTGGGAAACTATAATTGTGAGTGAGGTCATCGGCTCTTGACCTCCGCTCCACAGAGCGGCTTTGTGGTCAGCTCAAGTGTGAATCTTACACACATCTGCAGACGCAGACACACGCCGGCAAATAGCTGCACACACATGTGGGCACACGCACTCCTGTGCACACACCTGCATACATCTGTACACACACCTGCACATATACTCCTGCACACACGTGTGTCCACAGACCCTTGCAAACACACCTGCACACACTCCTGTGCACACACCTGCATACCTCTGTACACACACTCCTGCACCCACTTGTGCACACAGACCCTTGCACACATACACCTGCACACACTCCTGCACACACATGTGCACACAGCTTCCTGAACACACACCTGTACACACTCCTGCACACACACACTCCTGCAGACACAGCTGTACACGCATCTGCACAAAACACCTGCATACACATGTGCACACACAACTGTACACAGACTTGCACAGTCTCCTGTACACACTCACTCTTGCACACACATGCATGTCTGCAAACACATCTGCACACATACCTGCACATACGGCCTCCTGCACACAAGCTGCACACACAAACACCTGCACACACATCTGCACACATCTGCACATGCCCGAACAACTATACATGAACATCTACACACAACCTGCACACAAATCTGTACACACCCCCTCCTGCACACACATGCATATCTGCACACACACCCTCCTGCTCACACGTGCACACACACTCCTGCACACACACCTGCGCACACATACATATCTGTACACACATGCTCCTGTACACGCATCTGCACACACAAACACGTGCACACAGCTCTGCACACAGACATACACACACACATCCATACACATCCCCAGACACCTGCAGACAGTTCACGTGTGCACACATACTACACATGGACATATACCTATACACTGCACACACATCTGTACACGTACAGTCCTGTACACACACCTGCACACAGGCTTGCACACACACAGAAATACAGATGCTTTTTGTGCTGTCTACAAAGCCCTAAGGAGAACCAAGCAGGCCGGGCTCAGTGGCTCACTAAAAAAAATAATCATACAAGGCTGGGTGCAGTGGCTCACGCCTGATATCCCAGCACTTTGGGAGGCCGAGGCGGGTGGATCACGAGGTCAAGAGATTGAGACCATCCCGATCAACATGGTGAAACCCCGTCTCTACTAAAAATACAAAAAATTAGCTGGGCATGGTGGCGCTTGCCTGTAATCCTAGATACTCAGGAGGCTGAGGCAGGAGAATTGCCTGAACCCAGGAGGCGGAGGTTGTGGTGAGCCGAGATCATGCCATTGCACTCCAGCCTGGGAAACAAGAGTGAAACTCCGTCTCAAAAAAGTAAAATAATAATAATCATACAAAATTAGCCGGGTGTAGTGGCAGGTGCCTGTCATCCCAGCCACTCTGGAGGCTGAGGCAGGAGAATCGCTTGAACCTGGGAGGCAGAGGTGGCAGCGGGCCAAGATCACGTCCGTGCACTCCAGCCTGGGCAAGAGCGAAACTCTCTCTTAAAAAAAGAGAAGCAGGCAGAGTAGAGATGTGTGACCACAGGCTTCATGCAACGGAAAATGGCAGCTGGGTAGCAGCACCAGTGAAACACTGCATGTGCACCGCCTTCTCCCCCGTTTCCACAGGACCTGCGACTTTGTGCATTCGTGTAGCTGTAAAGGAATGCCTGAGGCTGGGTCCTGACTTCGGCTCGGCTCAGGGCGACGTTTCAAATCTTATTTATTTTTATTTTTATTTATTTATTTATTTATTTTGAGACAGAGTTTCGCTCTTGTCACCCAGGCTGGAGTGCAATGGCGTGATCTCGGCTCACCGCAACCTCCGCCTCCTGGGTTCAGGCAATTCTCCTGCCTCAGCCCCCCGAGTAGCTGGGATTACAGGCACACCCCACCATGCCCAGCTAATTTTTTGTATTTTTAGTAGAGGCTGGATTTCACCATGTTGACCGGGATGGTCTCGATCTCTTGACCTCGCGATCCACCCGCCTCGGCCTCCCAAAGTGCTGGGATTACAGGCGTGACCCACCGCGCCCGGCTATTTTTATTTTTTGACTTGGAGTCCTGCTCTGTCTCCCAGGCTGCAGTGCCATGGTGCCATCTCGGCTCACTGCAACCTCCACCTCCCCTGTTTAAGTGATTGTCCTGCCTCAGCCTCTGGAGTAGCTGGGACTACAGGCACCTGCCACCATGCCCAGCTAATTTTTGTATTTTTAGTACACACAGGGTTTCGTCACGTGTGTCAGGCTGGTCTCGAACTCCCGACCTCAGGTGATCCGCCCGCCTCGTCCTCCCAAAGTCCTGGGATGACATGCGTGAGCCACCGCACCCGGCCTCCTTTCTAGTTTTCTGTCACCGAGGATTACCAGAAGTCGGGAGTCACGGGATTTCAAACCTCACTTCTCTGGCAGTGTACCCTAAAGGTTAGCAGCTGAGAGGAAGCTTCTCAGAACAGATGAGAAGCAGGGTTATTTGCTAAGTTTCTTTCTTTCTTTCTTCTTTCTCTTTCTTTCTTTCTTTCTTTCTTTCTTTCTCTTTCTTTCTTTCTCTTTCTTTCTTTCTTTCTTTCTCTTTCTTTCTTTCTTTTTCTTTCTTTCTTTCTTTCTCTCTCTCTCTCTTTCTTTCTTTCTTTCTTTCTTTCTTTCCCTCCCTCCCTCCCTCCCTCCCTTCCTTCTTTCTTTCTTTTCTTTCTCTCTTTCTGTCTTTCTTTTTTTGAGACGGAGTCTCGCTCCGTCACCCAGGCTGGATTGCAGTGGCACAATCTCGGCTCACTGCAGCCTCCACCTCCCGGGTTCAAGCGATTCTCCTGCCTCAGCCTCCCGAGTAGCTGGGATTACAGGCATGGGCCACTAGGCCTAGCTAAGGTTTGTATTTTTAGTAGAGACAGGGTTTCTCCGTGTTGGCCAGGCTGGTCTCAAACTCCCGACCTCAGGTGATCCACCCACCTCTGCCTCCCAAGGCGTTAAAATTACAGCTGTGAGCCTCTGTGCCCGGAGTGAAACTGTTCATTTTAATGCTTAGGTTTAAGACGGTGTGGACAGCTGTGTAGAAACAGAACCGGAGGGAAGGGGGCTGGTCTAATGCTATGGGCTAGGGAGGAAACCCGGCGAGGCCAGTCTGTCTAGATTCTTCTCAACCTCTCTGGCCAGCCTTCCTTTCTCTGGGTGAGGGTAGGACCATCTCTGGAATGAGAGTCTTAGGACCTTTAGCCAAACAAGGTAGGTCACGGAATTTCCTTGTGGCCATTTTTATTTTTATTTTGGAGATGGGTATGATCTCGGCTCACTGCAACCTCCACCTCCTGGGTTCAAGCGCTTCTCCTGCCTCAGCCTCCCGAGTAGCTGGGACTACAGGCACCTGCCACCATGCCCAGCTAATTTTTGTATTTTTAGTAGAGACAAGGTTTCACCCTTTTGGCCAGGCTGGTCTCGAACTCCCGACCTCAGGTGATCCGCCTGCCTCGGCCTCCCAAAATGCTGGGATTACAGGTGTGAGCCACCACGCCCGGCCGAGATTCTGTCTCCTAAATAAACAAACAAACAAATAAAATCTGGCAGGTAGACGCTTGGGAAGCGGGGAGCACTGATTGCTCAGGCTGCAGACGGAATCACAGGTGGTTAGAGGGAGTTTTTCCTCCCATGTTCTGTTCATGGGTGGGTGTCGCAAAACTGGTTGAATCTGGGTAGTTTAGACTCTTGGACCTAGAGACTTCATGACCCCTAAAACCTATTATTCTTTCTTTCCTTTTCTTTTTTTTTTTTTTGAGACAGTTTCACTCTTGTAGCCCAGGCTGGAGTGCAATTGTGAGATGTCGGCTCACAGCAACCTCTGCCTCCTGGGTTCAAGTGATTCTCTTGCCTCAGCCTCCCCAGTAGCTGGGAGTAGAGGGGTCCGCCACCACGTCTGGCTAATTTTTTATATTTTTAGTGGAAATGGGGTTTCACCATGCTGGCCAGGCTGGTCGTGAACTCCTCACCGGGCGTCCACCTGCCTCAGCCTCCCAAAGTGCTGAGATGGCAGGTGTGGATCACTGAGCTTGGCCCCTGGCGTCCTTTTCATCTGTGGGGTCATGATCCTTCTTCCCTTTTATTTTATGTATTTATATTTATTTATTTATTGGACATGGAGGTTTGCTCTTGTTGCCCAGGCTGGAGTGCAGTGGCACAATCTCAGCTCACTGCGACCTCTGCCTCCTGGGTTTAAGCGATTCTCTCACCTCACCCTCCCTGGTAGCTGGAATTACAGGCATGCACCACCACATCCAGATAATGTTTATCGTTTTAGTAGAGACGGGGTTTCATCATGTTGGCCAGGCTGGTCTCAAACTCCTGGCCTCAAGCGATCTGCCTCCATTGACCTCCCAAAGTGCTGGGCTTACAAGTGTGACCACCACACCCAGTCCATTTGTTTAGCATTTAAACAGTAGCTTCTAACTGTCCTAGCTATTTTTTTTTTTTTTTTGAGATGGAGTTTTCCCCTCATTGCCCAGGTTGGAGTGCAATGGTACCATCTCTGCTCACCGCAGCCTCCACCTCTTGAATTCAAGTGATTCTCCTGCCTCAGCCTCCCCAGCAGCCGAGATTACGGGTGCCTGCCACCACACCTGGCTAATTTTGTACTTTTAGTAGAGACGGGGTTTCTCCATGTTGATCAGGCTGGTCTTGACCTCCCGGCCTCAGGTGATCCACCCACCTCGGCCTCTTAAAAGATTGACACTGGTCGTCACAGAAGATGTGTCTGAATCCTAAAGCCCAGAACCTCGAAATGGGACCTTATTTGGAAACAGGGTGTTTGCAGATGTGACGACTCAAAGATCTCAAGGCAAGATCATCCTGGATTAGTGTGGGACCTGAATCCAATGACAGCTGTCCTTCTAAAAGACTGAAGAGGACACACAGACACAGAGGAGGAGGCCACAGAGGAGGAGGCACAGACTCCAGTGGTGGGGCCACAAGCCCAGGGATGCTGGAGCCCCCAGGAGCTGGGAGAGGCAGGAAGGAGCCTCCAGAGTGAACGCAGCTGTGAGCCACCTAGATCTCAGACTTGTGGTCTCCAGGACGGGGAAAGGATAAATCTTTTTTTTTTTTGGAAACCTCCTAACCTGTGTTAATTTATTACTGCAGACTTAAGAAAGTAACAGCTGCGTGCGGTGGCTCAGGCCTGCAATCCCAGCACTTTGGGAGGCTGAGGTGGGCGGATTGCCTGAAGTCAGGAGTTCAAGACCAGGTAGGCCAATCTGCTGAGACGCCGGTTCTACTAAAAATATTTTTTAAAAACGCCGGGCACAGCGGCTCATGCCTGTAATCCCGGCACTTTGGGAGGCCTAGGTGGGCAGATCACCTGAGGTCAGGAGTTCAAGACTAGTCTGGCTAACATTGTGAAACCCTATCTCTCCTAAAAGTACGAAAATTAGCCAGGCGTGGTGGCACACGCCTGTAATCCCAGCTACTCAGGAGGTGGAGGCAGGAGAATCACTGGAACCCAGGAGGCAGAGGTTGGGGTGAGTCGACATGGCGCCATTGCACTCCAGCCTGGGCAACAGAGCAAGACTCCATCTCAAAATAAAGAAAAAAGAAAAAAAAATTAGCCAGGTGTGGCGGTGGACATGTATAATCCCAGCTACTCAGGAGGCTGAGGCAGGAGAATGGCTTCAACCCAGGAGGCAGAGGTTGCAGTGAGCTGAGATCTTTCACTGCACTGCAGCCTGGGTAACAAGAGTGAGACTTTGTCTCAAAAAACAAAAACAAAGAAACTAACACAGTTGCATTTTTCCTGGTTTTGCCTGCCGGCTTCATATTGGAGGGTAAAGTGGGTCGCCATGATTCCATCTTGATGGAAGGTACAGTTCTCAGTTCTCCGCCTCCCTCCCACGTCACCTTCAGATGACATTGTTTATTTATAGTTCCCTGCCTTTCCAGAAACCATGGTTCCGTGCGTCCTGCACCTGCAACGCTAAGCCCAGAACGTGGCCCTCCCTGAGTGACGTGTTGGTCGGACTGAGCTCTGACACTCATCTCAGTACCTCTCAGCCACTTCCTGCAGGTGTCTGTCCTGGTCTGCAAACAGGGGACGGGGACATCTTTTGCCTGATGAAAACGCGGCCCATAAAATGTCACTGCTTCAACAGACTCAGCCTTCCCTGTGGCATCTCCTCGGCATTTCCCTTGCTGGGAATCCCCAGTTCTCTCTTTGCAATGAGGGGCGTGGGCTCAGCAGGGACTTTCTGTTTTCCTGCCCTCAAGTTTCCTCTTAGCTAAAAACAACTGTGCCTCTCTTTTCTCAGGGGAAGGAACGGGAGACAGGAGACAGTAAGATATAAAGCATAGAGACAGAATTTACATGCTGGGCTGGACACGGTGGCTCATGCCAGTAATTCCAGCACTTTGGGAGGCCGAGGCCAGCGGGTCACCTGAGGTCAAAAGTTCGAGACCATCCTGGTCAACATGGTGAAACCCCGTCTCTACTAAAAATACAAAAAATTAGCTGGGCATGGTGGCGCGTGCCTGTAATCCCAGCTACTCAGGAGGCTGAGGCAGGAGAATTGCCTGAACCCAGGAGGCGGAGGTTCGGTGAGCCAAGATCGCGCCATTGCACTCCAGCTTGGGCAACAAGAGCGAAACTCCGTCTCAAAAAAAAAAAAAAAAAAAAAGAAAAGAATAAAGGCCAGTGCAATAATAGGTCACGCCTGCATTCTCAGCACCTTGGGAGGCCGAGGTGGGTGGATCACTTGAGGTCATGGGTTTGAGACCAGCCTGGCCAACATGCCGAAACCTCCATCTCTACTAAAAATATGAAAATTCGCTGGGCGTGGTGGCCCACAACTGCAGTCCAAGATACTCGGGAGTTTCAGGAAGGAGAATGGCTTGAACCCAGGAGGCGGAGGTTGCAGTGAGCTGAGATCCAGCCACTGCACTCCAGCGGGCGACACAGTGAGATTCCCTCAAAGAATAAAGAAAAAAAGAACTGAGATGGTGGCAGAGTTTGGGTGTTTTTCCCTGCACACGTCATGTTGAAATGGGATGGTCAGTGTTGGGGTGGGGTCTGGTGGGACGTGTTTGGGTCATGGGTGAGTCCTTGGTGCTATCCTCACATTACTGAGGTAGTGAGTGGTCCTCTGTGAGTTCGTGTGAGAGCTGGCCGCTTTTATTTTTTTGAACCTTCACCTACTGGGTTCAAGCGATTCTCTTGCCTCAGCCTCCCAAGTAGCTGGGATTACAGTGGCGTGGCACCATGCCCGGCCAATGTTTTGTAATTTTAGTAGAGACAGGATTTCACCATGTTGTCCAGGCTGGTCCCGAACTCCTGACCTCAGGTGATTCGCTCACCTTGGCCTCCCAAAGTGCTGGGATTACAGGTTCGCGCCCGGCCCATCTATCTTTTATTATAAGAATTTATCATCCGTCATCGACATATCACCTACCATCTATCATATGTGAAATGATCACTTATTTTATCAGTCAATCTATCTTATTTTTATTTCATTTTATCTTTGAGATGGAGTCTTGCTCTGTCACCCAGGCTGCAGTGCAGTGGCGCGATCTCGGCTCACTGCAACCTTCACCTCCCGGGTTCAAGCCATTCTCCCGCCTCAGCCTCCTGAGTAGCTGGGATTACAGGTGCCCTCCACCACGCCTGCCTAATTTTGTATTTTTGGTAGAGACCAGGGTTTCACCATGTTGGCCAGGCTGGTCTCGAACTCCTGACCTCAGGTGATCTGCCCGCCTCAGCCTCCCAAAGTGCTGGGATTATAGGCATAAGTCACAGTGCCTGGTCTCTCTATATATCTATCTATTTCCTATGTATTGTAATCATTTGTTATGTCAATGTATCATCTGTCTTTTATTCTATCTATCACCTATCTGTCTATGTATCTATCTTTCTATCTATCCATCTATGTATGTATGGATGCATATATGTCTCTATCTATCCATCTATCATCTATGTATCTATCTCCATCTATGTGTCTATGTATCTATCTACCTATGTGTCTATGTATCTATGTATCTACCTATCTATGTGTCTATCTATGTATCTACCTATGTATCTATCTATCTACCTATCTATCATCTATCTGTCATCTATATCATCTGTCTACTATCAATCCATCATCTGTCATCTATCAATCATTATCTATCATCTATGTATCTGTCATCTATCTGTCATGTATCTATCATCTATCAGCCCATCATCTGTCATTATCTGTGCATCTATCAATCATCTATTTTTCTATCATCTATGTATCATCTATCTATTGTATATATAATGATCACTTATCATATCTATCTGTCTTCTATTCCATGTATTATCTGTCCATCTCTCCATCTTGCCATTATCTACACATCTATCACAGCGGTTCACAGGCCAGGGAGAAGTCTACGCCCATGACACACTTGGCCATGTCCGGGGACAATGTCAAAAGAGTCACAGGCCAGGCGTGGTGGTTCACGCCTGTCACCCCAGCACTTTGGGAGGCTGAGGCAGGCGGATCACCTGAGGTCGGGAGTTCGAGACCAGCCTGGCCAACATGGAGAAACCCCATCTCTACTAAAAATACAAAAATTAGCCAGGCATGGTAGTATGCACGTATAGTCCCAGCTATTCCGGACGCTGAAACAGGAGAATCGCTTGAACCCAGGAGGAGGAGGTTGCTGTGAGCCAGGATTGCACCACCGTGCTCCAGCCCAGGTGACAGAGCGAGACTCTGTCTCAGCAGCAAAACATTCACAATTTATGGACATTCCTGGCGTCACTCCTGGGAAGTCTCCTCCCTGGCCCTGGCGTGTGGGTTCAAGCACAGCATGGCGCTGAGGGTTCTCTGTGCGGCCGCTCCCAATGTCAGCCGTGCTGAGTCTGAGACGCTCCCATTCTGTGCGGTGGAGACAGTGTCACGTTTCTTTTTCTGCGGCCGATACCGGCTCAGTTTCTCCGTGGCCACGCTTTCCCCTGCACAGACCCTCCCTGCAGCCGCAGCAGGAAGCCAGGTATGACCCCAGCCTCCTGTCTAGGGACAGGCAGCTCCCCAGGAAGCCGGAAACCAGCCCAAGGTTTCTGGGGGGGCTGGAGGCCCGTCAGGCAGGCAGGCACGTGGCGACATCCCTTTCCCAGAAGTGGAAGTAGTCGCTATCAGATGCGTTTCCAAATCATCTCAGCGACCGTTGCTCAACTTCCTGAAAAGTCAGTGGTGCCTAGATGCTTCACGGGAAGGGGAGGGGGTGCGGTGGCCCCATGTCCCCCCCATGGTGGGGGCACCTCTCACGTGGCACCTGCTGTTTGGAGCAGGGGAAGAAAGAACACAGTGGTGGAAATGAATCTTTATCATCTATTTATCAGCTATGTATCTATCATCTATCATCTATCTATTATCTATCATCTATCATCTATCTACCTATGTATCTGTCATCTATCATCTATCTACCTATGTATCCATCTATCATCTACGTATCTATCATCTTTCTACCTATGTATCTATCATCTATCAACCTATGTATCTATCATCTATGTATCTATCATCTATCATCTATCTACCTATGTATCTATCTATCATCTACCTATGTATCTATCATCTATCATCTATGTATCTATCATCTATGTATCTGTCATCTATGTATCTATCATCTATCATCTATCTACCTATGTATCTATCATCTACCTATCTATCATCTACCTATGTATCTATCATCTACCTATGTATCTATCATCTATGTATCTATCATCTATGTATCTATCATCTATCTACCTATGTATCTATCTATGTCTGTCATCTATCATCTATCTACCTATGTATCTATCATCTATCTATGTATCTATCTATCATCTATGTATCTATCATCTATCATCTTTCTACCTATGTATCTATGTATCTATCATCTATCTACCTATGTATCTATCATCTATGTATTTACCATCTATCATCTATCTACCTACGTATCTATCATCTATCTTCTATCATCTATCTATCATCAGCTATCATCTATCATTTATCATCTGTATATCATCTATCTAAAAAATAGATCTAGCCGGGCGCGGTGGCTCAAGCCTGTAATCCCAGCACTTTGGGAGGCCGAGGCGGGTGGATCACAAGGTCAAGAGATCGAGACCATCCTGGTCAACATGGTGAAACCCCGTCTCTACTAAAAATACAAAAAATTAGCTGGGCATGGTGGCACGTGCCTGTAATCCCAGCTACTCGGGAGGCTGAGGCAGGAGAATTGCCTGAACCCAGGAGGCGGAGGTTGCGGTGAGCCAAGATCACGCCATTGCACTCCAGCCTGGGTGACAAGAGCGAAACTCCGTCTCAATAAAAAAAAAAAAAAAAAAAAAAAAAAAAAATAGATCTAACAGACACTCCATCTAAAAGTAATAATAATAAAATATATTTGTTTGTTTTGTTACTATTATTTTCCCTCAGGTTCTTGCGTGGCAAGTCAATGTTGTTTTATGATTTTTTTAGATGGAGTGTCGCTCTGTACCAGGTTGCAGTGCTGGTTACCGTTTTTTTTTATTTTTTAATTTTTTTTACTGGAGCTGATGTCTCTATTAAAAAAAAGATAAAAGTTATCGTTTTTGTTTATACTTATTTATTTTTAGTCATTATTTATCTATTTTTAATCCTTTATTTTTGACATGGAGTCTCGCTGTCTCCCAGGACGGAGTGCAAAAATTTTGTTTTTCTTTTCATTCATTCGTTTATTTGTATGTGTTTATTTATAATTAATTTATTTCTGAGACAGAGTCTCACTCTGTCTCCCAAGCTGGAGTGCAGAAATGTCACCGGTTTTTATTTATTTATTTATAATTAATTAATTTATTTCTGAGATGGAGTCTCACTTTGTCTCCCAGGCTGGAGTGCAATGGCGGGATCTCAGCTCACTGCAACCTGCACCTCCTGGGTTCAAACAATTCTCCTGCCTCAGCCTCCTATGTAGCTGGGACTACACACACCCACCACCATGCCCAGCTGATTTTTGTATTTTTAATAGAGACAGGGTTTCACCTTGTTGGCCAGGCTGGTCTTGAACTCCTGACCCCAGGTGATCCACCCACCTCAGCCCCCCAAAGTGCTGGGATTACAGGTGTCAGCCACAGCTCCCGTCTTTTTTTTTTTACCCTCTGAGATGGAGTCTCGCTCTGTCGCCCAGGCTGGAGTGCAGTGGTGTGATCTCCACTCACCTCAACCTCCACCCTCCCAGGTTCAAGTGATTCTCCTGCCTCAGCCTCCTGAGTAGCTGAGATTACAGACACCGGCTGACGCGCCCGGCTAAATTTTTTGTATTTTTAGTAGAGACAGGGTTTCACCTTGTTGGCCAGGCTGGTCTCGATGTCCTGACCTTGAGATCCACACGCCTTGGCCTCCCTAAGTGCTGGGATGACAGGCGTGAGCCAGCGTGCCCGGCCTAAGACTTCCAAATCAAAGGCGCGTCTCAGAGCAAAGGCTGGGGAGCTTGGGGCCACGGGGCCTGTAACACAATAATACTCTGCCCAGACCCTTTAACCCCGTTCATGCCGGAGGTCGCAATCTTGTGAAAAACCAGACCTTGGCAGTAACCTTCAGCTGCAGGATAGCAATCACACCCACAAGCTTAGTGTTCCAGTAATGGAACACCAGGCATACACTGGTTACTCATGAGCCCTCCATGCAGGAAAACTTGAAGGCTCCAGCACCGCCTCTCTGCAGCCGACAACACGTGACAGACGCCAGGATCGTCCGGTGCTGGGGCACGGGGCCCCAAAATCTGTAGGTTGAGTTCCCAGCAGAGGGTCTCTGGCAATGAGACTTTATGTGGAAATACGGTTCTTGCGGACGTAATTAGTTTTACTAGGAAAGTCATCAGGGCCAGTACTCAGTTCAATCCGGCCGGACGTTCCGCTAACAAGGAAATGTGAGCCTGGCCACAACCACGGAATTCCAGGAACTGGGGCAGGGATGCCGTTAACCCTTCCTTGTCCAGATTCACTAGTGCTGAATCAAACACCCCAGGAGAGTGAACAGCAGAAAAGGGAGAGCTGTGACTCACCCTGGAATCCCTTCCCTCCAGCTCCCCAGAAAAGTCTAGATTAGGCCCAATGTGGTCCCTCACGCCTGGAACCCCAGCAGTTTGGGAGGCCGAGGCGGGCGGATCACTTGAGGTCGGGAGTTCCAGACCAGCCTGGCCAACATGGAGAAACCCTGTCTCTATTAAAAATATAAAATTAAGGCTGGGCATGGTGGCTCATATCTGTATTCCCAGCACTTTGGGAGGCCGAGGTGGGCAGATCACCTGAGGTCAGGAGTCTGAGACCAGCCTGATCAACAGGGAGAAACCCCATCTCCACTAAAAATACAAAAAATTAGACCAGATGCAGTGGCTAACACCTGAAATCCCAGCACTTTGGGAGACTGAGGCGGGCAGATCACCTGAGGTCAGGAGTCTGAGACCAGCCTGGCCAACATGGAGAAACCCTGTCTCTATTAAAAATATAAAATTAAGGCTGGGCATGGTGGCTCATATCTGTATTCCCAGCACTTTGGGAGGCCGAGGTGGGCAGATCACGAGGTCAGGAGATCGAGACCATCCTGGTCTACATGGTGAAACCCAATCTCTGTAAAAAAAAAAATATAAAAAATTAGCCAGGCGTGGTGGTGGGCGCCTGGAGTCCCAGCTACTCGGGAGGCTGAGACAGATCTCTTGAACCTGGCAGGTGGAGGTTGCAGTGAGCTGAGATCACACCACCGCACTCCAACCTGGGGGACAGAGGGAGACTCTATCTCAAATAAACAAATGGGAAAATTGGTCTAAGGGTCGTGGTTGTATCAGGAGGTGTTGTGTGAACCAGAGCAGCTCATCTTGAATCGGGGCTGGGAAAATGAGTGTCAGACATGCTGGAGGTTGGCAGAAGATACAGACATCAAGAACTTGCTGCTGAAACCGGCTGCCATAACGAAGCCAGATGTGGCCGGGCGCGGTGGCTCACGCCTGTAATCCCAGCACTGTGGGAGGCCGAGGCGGGTGCATCACGAGGTTAAGAGATCGAGACCATCCTGGTCAACAAGGTGAAACCCCAACTCTACCAAAAATACAAAAATTAGCCGGGCACGGTGGCGCATGCCTGTAATCCCAGCTACTCGGGAGGCTGAGGCAGGAGAATTGCCTGAACCCAGGAGGCGGAGGTTGCGGTGAGCCGAGATCGCGCCATTGCACTCCAGCCTGGGTAACAAGAGTGAAACTCCGTCTTAAAAAAAAAAAAAAAAGCCGGATGAAACCCAGGAGAACCAAGATGGCCACCTTCGTCACCTCTAACCGCCTCCCTGCTGCACTCCCACCAGCAGCAGGACAGTTTACAGACACCATGGCAAGGTCAGGAAGTCACCCTCGATGCTCTAAGAAGGAGAGTCCTGAATAATCCACCCCTTGTTTAGAATATCATCAAGAAATAACGGTACAGCCGGGTCACAGCCGCCCTCCAGGCTGCTCTGCCTATGGAGTAGTCATTCCTTTTTTGGGGGAAAAGATGAGTTTTGGTCAGTCACCCAGGCTGGAGTGCTGTGGTTTGATCTCAACTCACTGCAACCTCTGCCCCCCAGGTTCAAGCGATCCTCCTGCCTCAGCCTCCCGAGTAGCTGGGATTACAGGCACGTGCCACCACGCCCGGCTAATTTTTTGTGTTTTTAGTAGAGACGGGGTTTTACCATGTTGGCCAGGCTGGTCTCGAATGCCTGACTTCAAGTGATTCACCTGCCTCGGCCTCCCAAAGTGCTGGGATCTCAGCTCACTGCAACCTCCGCCTCCTGGGTTCAAGCGATTCTCCTGCCTCAGCCTCCAGAGTAGCTGGGACTACAGGCACCCACCACCACAGCAGGCTAATTTTGGTATTTTTAGTAGAGACGGGGCTTCACCACATTGTTCAGGCTGGTCTCGAACTCCTGCCCTCAGATGATCCACCCACCTCAGCCTCCCAAAGTGCTGGGATTACAGGCATGAGCCACCGCACCTGGCCTTTTTTGTTTCTTTGTTCTGGGATGGAGTCTCTGTCACCCAGGCTGAAGTAAACCGGTGCCATCTCAGCTCACTGTAACCTCCGCCTCCCAGGTTAAAGCGATTCTCCCGTTTCAGCCACCACGCCCAGCTAATTTTTTTTTTTTTTTTTTTTTTTTTTTTTTTTACGGAGTCTAGCTCCGTCACCCAGGCTGGAGTGCAATGGCGCAATCTCTGCTCACTGCAACTTCTGCCTCCTCAGTTCAAGCGATTCTCCTGCCTCAGCTTCCTGAGTAGCTGGGGAGATGCAGGAACCCACCACCACGCCCAGCTAACTTTGTATTTCTAGTAGACATGGGGTTTCACCATGTTGGCCAGGCTGGTCTCGAACTCCTGACCTCAGGTGATCCGTCCAGCTCGGCCTCCCAAACTGCCGAGGCTTGGGAAGCCGAGGTGGGTGGATCATCTGAGGTCAGGAGTTCGAGACCAGGCATGAGCCACCGCGCCCGACTCAAATTATTCTACGTCATTTTTTCTGCATTGGGAGGCCCTAAAGTGGGCTGTAAAGAGAAGCTGTTTTTAATTTTTCTTCTCTGAGACCATTCCCGGCTGATTTTTGTATTTTTAGTAGATGCAGGGGTTCACCGTGTTGGCCAGGCTGGTCTCGAACTCCCGACCTCATGATTCGCCCACCTTGGCCTCCCAAAATCCTGGGATTCCCGGGATGAGCCACCATCCCCAGCAGAGAAGCTGGTTTTTATCACCGTATTTACCCAAATCCCGCAACCTTAAAGCCAGTCACGCGGTTTTCCACCCATGGACTCGACTGCCCCCTGCTGGCCCATTCCTGTGATTGCAGGCGTGCGGTGCTGGGAGAATCGGGCTTTGAGTTGTCATTTGCTGGGTGGGTACTTTTCGGGGGCAGATGGAGCAAAAGGGCCTTAAAACGACTGGAATCGGCCGGGCACGGTGGCTCAAGCCTGTAATCCCAGCACTTTGGGAGGCCAAGGTGGGTGGATCACGAGGTCAGGAGTTCAAGACCAGCCTGGCCAACCTGGTGAAACCCCGTCTCTACTAAAAATATAAAACTTACCTGGGCGTGGTGGCGGGTGCCTGTAATCCCAGCTACTCAGGAGGCTGAGGCAGGAGAATCGCTTGAACCCGGGAGGCGGAGGTTGCATTGAGCCGAGATCACACCACTGCAGTCCAGCCTAAGCTACAAGAGCAAAATTCTGTTTCAAAAAATAAATAAAAAATAACCATTTATGCCTAGTGTTCCATTACTGGAATGCTAAGCTTGTGGGAGTTATTTATATCTTACTGCTCAAGGTCATCATCCAGGTCTCATTT